GGTTGGAGGGTTCACCTGGTGTATACAAATGTTCGTGAGAAACATTGTTGTGGAAGGCCCATTCATTATTAAACAAATAATAATAATTATTAACGGGGCGTGGATCATCTCCTCCGTTATGAACAGAAAAAAAAAGTCACAGTATCATATTTAGCGATGATCACAACTTTCGGGAGAATTGGAACAGTGCACGAGTGGTTAGCACGCTGTGCAATGAACCAAACAGACTAATTTAGAATCCCGGCCAGAGTTAACATCAGTGGCGAGTAATATCGAACTGATGTCCCATGTTCACCACCATGCACTTACCAGCAACCTCTACGCATAATATGGAGTCGGGAGGCCTTCATGCAGCAGCGGATTGACAAAGAGCTGTTCAACGTGTAGGGTAAACCATTCTGACAGAAAGGCAGCAGCTACCTCCAATTAGCACGCTTGCCTACGTACTTCGCGAATGAAGTTGAACGTAATCACTGTACATACAAACGACTCACGACCACTTCGGCGAGACATTTCATCAGCAGCGGTGATCGTAGGTCACAGCAAAGAGGAGGCACCGACCTGGCGAATTCCCTCGTATCGTGCGGGGTGGATGGGGCGAACGGCGTCTCTCCACCGAGTGATGCCGTTTGGAATTAAATTAATTAATCAATAGAAATTTACATTTTTACGCATTTAATTGCGTTCATCCATAATGCGAAATTCTTACAGTTAAAACTGCCCATCTTATCCCTGTCCACGCTGATTTAAATAAAGTCTACATCATTCGTTCCCAAAATGTGCCACATTGAGTGGACGACGGCGTAAGTCTCGCCACGAATGTGTCAATGCCTATGCCACCCCGAGGCTTTCCGCATCGACAGTCCCACCACCAACCAACACCACCAGACCTCATTGGAACCTCATTTGCCAGTAAAAAATATGATAATTGTTGTTTTACCCTTCTATCTGGCAACAAAACTGACACCTTTTTCTTTTTACAAGGAGTCATGTTTGCATAGACCACAATACCTGCAGTCATAATGCAAACAAAAAACATAACTCTGATAATGTGTGCACTGTCCTTGAAGTTGATTGGTCCCACACCCGAGACAGCTTTCCTTAGAGCCTAGTCTCACATGGGTTGGACCAGATGACGCCAAAACGTCGCACAACTCAAAGACAATGCACCATCAGAGTATGAGAGCTCGGGGTAAGCATTTACACCATTGAAACCTAATTTGCCAGTAAAAAAACATGATAATTGTTTTTTTTTACCCTTCTATCTGGCAACAAAACTGACACCTTTGGTCTATGCAAACATGACTCCTTGTAAAAAAAGGTGTCAGTTTTGTTGCCAGATAGAAGGGTAAACAAACCAATTATCACCACCAGACCTCGTTTAGCCTTGCGGTCCTTGCCGTCCACCCCTCCGCCCGTGCCGACGTCCTTCAGCCGGTGATTGCGCTCCTGCCGAGTCGGAGTCTCCGGACCCTGCGTGTGCCACGACGCGCGCTCGCTGCTGCAGTCGCTGCTGTGGCTCTGCAGCTGGTCCTGCTGCTGGCTCTGCTGGTCCCCGCAAGTGCAGCAACAGCACGGGGTGCTGGTGCCAGTGCGCTCCGTGCTGCACTCGCTCGAGCAGCAGCAGCAGCAGCTGTCGCTTGGCTGGCTGCTGCTGCTCATGGCGGAAAGGTCTGTGTGGTCGCAGGGTGCACAGGAACCGATCCCGACGCGTCGACAGCCACCGACATCGTTATCTTCCTCCTCCTCGTCGTCGTCTTCGTCGTCATCGTCGCTTCTGTAAGACGTGCCTCCGGACCCCGAGATGAATTCACCTCGTTCCCCTCTGGCGCCGCGGTCGCGTTCGCCGCCGCCGCCGTCCTGGTGGTTGTGGTGGCGGTGTCGGCATCGAAGCTTGGAGTCCTCCTCGCAGGAGAGGCGAGAGCGCAGGCTGGAGCTCTCCGCGCTCGGCTGCCGTGAGCCCCAGCTAGAGCCGTCCTCGACGGGACAGCGAGAGTCAAAGCCAGACTCCCCCCGCCGGCCGTGTGGACGTGACCCCAGGCAAGCGCCTTCCACGTTGTGACATCCAGAAGATAACCCGAACCCCTTCGCGCCGTGGGGATGTCGGCAGCCTGTACTGCAGCCTCCCTCCGCGCTGGCGCGTCTGCTAGAGCCCGTGCTGGACCCTTCCACGTTACGGTGCCGGGAGCCGGAGCTCGCCTGGCTGCGCGCGCTGTCGGAACCGCTGCAAGAGGCGCGCGCGTCCTCGTTGCGGGCGCGCTCCCGTCTCGCTCCCATGTCCATCGCTCTTCAATTGAGCCTCGGCTACAGCCTAAAACACGCGCGCCGTCACCATTGAGTACGCGTTGGGCATCCCTCCAATTCCCCTTCCTGCCCAGTATGATGAGATGGCGGTGACGATGATGACTGCGAGCCGCGCCTTAGCACGTCGCCCGGTGTCCATCGCGAGTCTTCTGCCCGAGGTCTTTCGCCGTCATTGAGACCTTCGCAAAGTGGCGGTGGACGACGAGTGGTGGACGCGGCCCGGATTGTTTTGACGGACGGGGCTGTGTGCTTTAACGCCGGTAAAATGATACTTGAAGTGCGCTCATACCTGGACGGCCGAGCGAGTCCGCCTGTGACATGCAGGATGGCAGGGGGAGGGGTGGGGGACGCAGCGAGGCGTGGGTGGATCGGAGTTCGGCTATTCACGAAGCGTTCGCCGGTGTCTCCCGGCCCGATCCAGCTACGTGCGCACATTAGTGTGATAGACCACAGCGGATACCGCTCTCAAACATTCGTTTGGCTGATGGCACCGTTCTCTCTTGTTTGAATCGTGTTTCGAACGAGTTTGGACGAAAGTTTCGTTTACGTTGGACGTGATTCATTATCTTGACGGGAGTCTTTGCGCACCGACTGTTGCGGACAGACAGAAAGGCACGCGCAGCTAATGCGCTGTTATTTATCGCAACCCCGAGTTGGAAAACGTTTTAAATGGAGGGGCATAGTTGACCCCAATTGTACGTACTGTGTTGGACTTCTTTCGCACCGTACGCAGCCAATTACTTTCTAAGTTTACGGGGTTTGATTATTAATACAACTTGCCTCTTTTGTAGATATCACATCTTTAAGAGGCTGATTCAGTTTCATAACCTGGCTGGCTTTGGGCATTAGAATGTGTTTTTTTGTCCCCTCTAATGTATTGTCACTTTTGCACGTACAATTTCAAGTGTAGATTTATGTTATTCGGCGTGCCAGCGATATCTGAACCGGTTCTTTTCATTTCATCAACGCGTACTGGGCAGCGTGGTGAAGCATGGGGGCAACCACCCCCCCCCCCCCCCCCCCCCGGGCACCCCCTACGACGAACACGGGACACTATATCGAGTCGTTTCGCAGTGGGAGTAGAAAGGGCTACACAAATGTAATCAGCGGTACAATATAGCCCCCAATGGTGACCTCTCGTGGTGGTATGATGAAATGTTATTTGCACTTGGGCACGGTTAAACTAAACATTAACCAGGTAAGTCCCAGGTAAATCAATAGTAATGTATTCCCATCATTGTTTGCGATTTATCATGAACGAAACTATATATATATGTGTTTTGTCAGGTAAGGCCCACTGATCTATAAAGCTCTTTTTCAGAAGCGACCTGCCCACAAATTAAAGCTCAACATAATGGCTTTTTATTGTTGGGAATTTTAGAAACCAAAGACTCTAAAGGCATGTTTCTAAATGTGGAGGGGGAAAAATTTAACCCGTAAAAACAAAGTTTTTCACTATAAATCCTTTAAATTACAGTACGTGTTCAATGGGCCACAACCCAGTCCACATTGGTCTTTGAAACGGGCGGCTAGAGTCATCTCGTCCTCTGGCTTGAGATGGCTGCCACCTATGGGTCAGATGATTGTCTGCCACCATTAAGCAATTGGTAATTAAATATAAAAAAAAATCCTAAAAAGTGTAAAATTTTGGAACAAAAATTTTCACGAAAATAAAATTGTCACGCACGAGTCTGTGTGCAAAATGTCAGCTCGATTGGATCACGGGAAGTGGGTTCAAAAACGACCGAAAGATTTGCACGGTCGTAAGCGCGCAAGCAAGCAAGCAAGTGAACTTAATGTAAAGGATTTTTAAAAAAACGGAGGACACGGAAAAAAATCCACACGACCACGGGGAGAGAGACGTGCAGACTCCAAATATACAGGCATCAGGGTCGGGATCAACTTGATGACCTCCTGCATACCAGGCGATAGAGTTAACATCTCTATTAACGTACACGTCGGTTGTACGTATATTAAAGCAGTTAAATGAGAGGCAGACGCCAGCAGGTTGTAATTATTCTGGAGAGCACAACTTGATGGTCAAGAATAGTGACGGAGTGGCAGCCAAAGAATGGAACGCGCCCCTTGGGTTAACCGAGATGGCGAGATTAGTTCACCTCATGCAAAAGCGCTGGGCGGATTTCTACTTCGCTGGATCACAGAAAATGGCAGTTGCTTGGGAAGGCCTTCTTCATCCTGCAGTTGGTTGAACATGGCAGCATTTCCAAGTTGAGATTGATCTGTATGTGCTACGAATTGTGCCTTTGCAAGAGTAACACTTTTTTCGTTAAAGTCACGTAGGTTAAAAAAGAAAACAAATAAATTAAATCACGTTTCGGAGGCAACACAAGCTTCCGTCTTCAGGTGGAACCGTCACAGCAAAATTACTGTATCAGTATCAGTACTGTATCAGTAATTACTGTATGAGTATCAGTAATGTTGCTGACGGTTCCACCTGAAGACGGAAGCTTGTGTTGCCTCCGAAACGTCGCGATTTAAGTAACAATTTTGCTTTTTGACTGCTTATTTTGCAGTGTATAAAAATCATTCATTTGCTATTGTATATGATGTTCAAACGTCCACAGCAGATCAAATAGTGAATTGAATTGTACAGCATTGAAAACAGCTGTGGCATTATCAGATTCAGCTGGAAGACGTCGTATACACAGCCACGCCAGGAATAACACTGAGACAAATCAAGATATAAATAGCTTTATTTTTTTCCCCAACAGCAACAAATTAAACCAATCCCAACCGAGAACGAAAGAACAATTTTCTGCCTCCACAGTAGAAAAACAATTGCTGACTAGTTTTGATCAGGTAGTGCAGGCTACGTGTTTTTTTTGGCAGATGATGTGATGCCTTAGATGTTGTATGAAGTAAAACGAGCTGGCAATGGAATAGGCATTACCAAAGCACATTCAAAATGTATTCTTATTTTATCCCACATCATAAAGCAGCATCTTTATTGCTGTACAACACCATTATAAAAATCTTCAAGTTATCTATAAACAGTACAAGCTTTGCAACTGTAATGTATTTAAGGCTGCTTACAATAAGGAGGGGGTTTAATTTAACCAATTTTAACAGGGTTAACAGGTCGTTGCCTTGCTTTGAACGGATGTTACTACAGAAGACCATTGAATATCGCGGGCATATCGTTCGCAGCTTCGACCTATCGCATGCCAACCTCTTTGTATACCAATTTAGCTATCGTGGGGTCAGCTTTGGACTTTCGCGGGTCGACTGGACTTGTAAGGACTGTATCATTGGCTGATACCGTGGTGCTGGGCGGGCGAGCGACGCAAGGCAGTCAGTGGCGCCCTCAACCTTGGCCGTGCAAGAATCTCGCGGACAAAGACCCCCCCCTATAGCCTTAACAGACTGTTGGGGTATTAGTGAGCACCTATGAAGGCCGGCATGGCACAAACAGAGGGTGGGGGGGTGACCAGCACCACGCACGGCCGCCTTCATCTCCCCAGTGGCGATGTTTACACATCGCACCAGGCAGGCACTCATTTGAGGCTGAGTCGGCCTATGGGATGCCCAGGACCGATTAAGATAATCGTCACCGGTGTTGGGCGTGAGCGGGAATCAAACTCGGGTGGCCGGGTTCCTCGCGCAGCGCGCTAACCTTGACGCTACCGCTTCCCACTTGCGAACACACACCTGGTTTAGATCATCGGTAAGTGCAGTATTCAGTATTTAAAGTATCTGTTTAATATTTGTATAGGGTTTTACATGTTAATTTTAAGGATTTCATTTTTAGTCTATTTGGCATACAGTGCAGTATTTCAATTGTGAGGTGTCTATTTTTGGTTGCCGTATACCTAACCCCATTATTTAGGTAAGGCTTAAGTATTGAAAATCGCGGTTTTGGCTTTTGCGGAACTTCACAAGAATGTAACTGCCGCGATATTCAACAGTCTCCTGTACAGCAAGTTAACAGTTTGTGTAATAAAAAGTGCACCGCTGAGAATGCAAAAAAATAACATTTGACAGAACTGTTAAAACGGTGTATGTTTGTAAAGATAGGCATGTTGGGCTTTCAATATTACCAAAAGAAGTGATTGTATTTTTATGCAAGGCTACATTCTCTTTCATTAAAAACATGCCAGTTATTATAATGTATCAGCAGAGCAACATTTGTACTTCATTCTCAAAATGACATTTTTATCTTCACACCGTACCCCTGCAAAGATGCGGCTCTGCACACACAGCGTTCCTTCAAATGCAGCAAACAGTAGAAATATATCATGTATACAGCGACAACCCTCTACACCAAAAGCATACCGCACTCACACACACAAGCCTATCCACGGACGCCCTACCATTACCCCGACTCCTCCGTTGGTAATAGGTTCTCGGCGGCTGTTCCGCTCATCTCAGAGGCTGGAAGTGTGGCTGCGGGTGTTTCTTCCACATCCAGTGGTGGCGATGACGAGCCCTGCGTATAAGGCGTGTCCGTGTTGGCCGATTCTGGCGGTGGCGTGGAGGACAGGCCTGGTGCTGCTGTGTACAGCGGTGGGGGTGGCAGTGAGGTTGACGAGGCTTCCTGTGTCGGCGGCACATCGGGCAGGCTTGTCGGGAATGCAGGAATTACTGCAGAGAGTGATGCGGGCAGGCCGCCCGCGAAGGAGATGGGCACCACTGGCGGATATGAGTGCAGGGCAGGGAGGCCTGAAAGGCATAATGCAGTGTTGTTATTCAATGAAATAGAATGCTGTTTTTTTATTATTCTAGAAACCTAACTTGTCGATGTATAATTTGATACTTGCAAACATTGTGCAATGGGATGGAGACAATTTTAAAAACAAAGACCATACGTTGCATATAACACCACTGCACTCATTTGGAATTTGTGAAATACTGACTATCTTGATTCTGTATGGCACCTCAAAAGTGAAGTCTTGGAATCAATAAAGCACGTTGGTTGAATTACTATAGGCTTCGCAGGTGTATACAATGTTGTGGAATTTATATTTGTTTGCCTTTATCCCAATTTTATTCTAATTGTGTTGTCATGTCATGCGCAAATGAAATGTCCATTAAAACTCTCTCAGAGCAGTGCATCACCCTGTATAGAGAATGTCCCGTGGTAAAATGACAAAATAGATCCACTTCTCAGGTCCTTTTCAGTGATCTCTTATCCACAAATAGGGGGTGCTGCACTTTCCCATGCATCCTTCTATTAAGATGTTAATATCATGGCAAGAAAAATAAGTTTTTTTTTATTCCACAATCTGAAAATTTTGGCAAATTAACTGAAAAATCTAATATGCTGGTTGATGGCCAAGGCCATAAACCCCGATATAGTTCAGAAACCAGTTTAATCATGAGTGACGACATAAATACCATCACGAGATCTTGGTGGTTACTGGCACAGCGCTCTTAAATGAAATCCCGTGACTACCTCCTCACTTTAACACGAAGGCTTTCCCGACCAATATTCATAATACAGGTTTTTTTTGGTGAGATCGCGTAAATGTGTGGTTAAACCCGCCACCACCTAACAGCCAATTAGTAAGAGTTGTCACTCAGAGAGAAATACAAATAATTTTAACCGCTCTGATAGCTACAGGCTTAGATATTAAGTAATACATAATACAATTCCTTATAGAGGAATCACATACTAATTAACTGATTACTAATCAGACTGCATGTTGTATACATATCATTCTCCAGCGGAGAATAACAACGTGTGCCTCTTACCTGCTGCATTTGGATCAGCAATTCCAAGCTGGCTGATGGGAAGGTTTAATGGTGTAAAAGGAAAGTCTGGTAGTGTGCCAGGCATGACACCTGCAAAAAAATCAACACATTTAACGGTATATTGTCGATGACTACAACGAATAAAATTTTTATTTAAAGATTTTTTTTTGTAATTATACGTTATGGTGCGCACGTTTTTATTGAGCAGAATTGTGTATATATATAAAATTTACCAGGAGGTAGGGAGGCATTCGTATGGCTTGGTATGAGTGGCATTGTCAGTACACCTGCAGGGTGATATGCAAGACAGCAACATTGTAGAAAAGGTTAAGTTCACTGCCAACTTGTTTGTATGAATATTAAGCGTGTTTTGGTTTTTCAACACGTCCTCAGTTCTATTTCTATCACGGGAAAACACCTTTTTCATTTTTGGCAAAACACCCCTTTTAGCAGATACCACTTTTCAGCCAAGAAATCAGCGATAAAATGTCATTAACCGGCCATGAACATTGGGCCCAGTGTGTAACAGAAAGCATGGATACGTCAGATTTGTTTTTATATTACAAAACTGTTAAAATGTGCATGCCTGCTATTTACCATCGTTCAGTGCACTGGTGACAGACGGGGGCGTGGAGGAAGCCATGGTGCTGAGCGGCAGGCTGGTCACTCCTGGCTCCAAACCGGACATGGTGATAAGCATGGTCGGGGTAGAAGAAACGTTTACTGGAGTTGGGGAGCTCAGCAGTGAGTTGGCAGCTGAGAGGGACACCTACAAAAAATCCACAGGCAAAGGGACAGTAAGCTTTGTTTTCATTGCACTGGTTTATATGATCTCCATTTACAGCACATTTCAATGTATTGTTGATGCAGGGTTATTAAATACAAATTCAGAAAAATATTCCAGTTATTAATCAGTTCTAGATTTGAAGTTTTCGTGACTGCAAGGATTCATACTCTTTGGTTTTTTCGGTAAAGTCACGTACGTAAAAACAAAATGAAAAAACAACTAAATTAAATCATGACGTTTTGGAGGCAACACAAGCTTCCGTCTTCAGGTGGAACCGTCACAGCAAAATTACAGTAATCTTGTGTCGCCCCCGAAACGTTGTGATTTATTTAGTTGTTTTTTCATTTATATTTTATCTACGTGACTTTACCGAAAAAACCAAAGAGTATTAATCAGCTATATGTGCACGTTATTTAATGGGTTTTATTGGTACCAATATTCAGGAAAATTAAGTGCAAATAAAATAGTGTGGAAGCTTGACCACACCTCAGTGAAGCCATCCTTTGCACTGGTTGTGGTTGAAGGGCTGATGAGTTTGCCCTCAGTGAAAGGCCGTGTAGGAATCCGATGCAGGTATCCGTAGCCGATCCCACAACCCAGACTGTCGTGGAAAGTATAACACCATAATCACAATGTACAGCATTATGATCTTCAATATAACAATGAAATCAAATATATCACTGTGCATCATTCCGTACTTCTCTCCTTTTGAATTTATCTCCATTGTTTTATTTCATTATTTGCAACATAGTTTACAAATGCATAAACTCACCTGCCCTCACCACCCCAGGCCCCATTGGGTGTGATTACCACCTCTCGGCAGCTGTCAATGTCACTGTTGTACACATAAAGCTTGAGAGGCTTTCCCTCATGGGATTCGATCATAGTGTACAGATCCTCGGACTGAAAAAGATGCAAAGAATGGATCCGCATGTCAATGTAAACTAAAACATTTTTTTATTTTACCAGGTGAGGCCCACTGAGGTATGAAATCCATTTTCAGAAAAGACCTGGCCACAAATGATAGCTCAACCAAGTGGCTTATCACGTGGAATTTTACAGCAGCCAAATACTCTAAACGCATGTTGATTCTAAATGTGGAGGGAAAAATCGGAGGATCCGGTGAAAAATTCACACGACCACGGGGAGAGACGTGCAAAGTCCAAATATACAGCAAATGTCAGGGACGTGATCGAACAAACGATCTCCTGCATAGGTAGTTAACATCTTGCCACCATGGAGCTCCTGTACTTTAGCAATGCAGGTTATTAAATTCATTCCTATTTTGCTCTGTATATTCACCAAAGGTTATCACTAATATTAAGATGAATCAACAACGCGTGATAATTGCAGTACAAAAGGTCAAGACAATTACCTCATTTAACACGGCATCGGCTCCAATGATGTAGTCTGAGAAAGGACGCAGTCCTGCCAGAGCAGCTGGTGAGTGTGGCTCCAAGTCCTAAACACATTGGTACATTTTTTAAATCCTTTATATTAAGTTCGCTTGCTTGCTTGCGTGCTTGCTTGCTTACGACCGTGCAAATCTTTCGGTAGTGTTTTAACCCACTTCCCGTGATTCAATCGAGCTGACATTTTGCACACAGACTCGTTGTGCGAGAGAATTAATGTTCGTGAAATTTTTTTTCCAAAATTTTACACTGTTTAGGGAAAACAAATTAAATATTTAATTACAAATTGCTTAATACTGGCAGACAATCATCTGACCCATAGGTGGCAGACATCTCAAGCCAGAGGACGAGAGGACTCTAGCCGCCACGCATATAAAGGATTTATAGTGAAAAACTTTGTTTTTACAGGTTATACTTATTTACAATTATAAATCTCCATAATATATGAAGACGGTGTTTACACATACACTAGCTTGTTTGCCCGTCTTCGGACGGAAGCTGTAATATTTGCCCGTCCTAGGACGGAAGCTGTAATATTTTTTTAAAAATTGAGCGGAGTATAATTGTATCTTGTGTCAATTTAATGGCAGTGAATCTTGCACGAAAGTATGTCATCAAACACTTCACTGCATTTCACTGTAGCACTGTATTAATGGCAGTGATTCTTGCACAAAACTACGTCATAAAACACCTCACTTCATGTCACTGTAGCACTGTATATAACTGACCTTCAATTTGTTTAAATTCACTGCTCTGATACTTTATTCTCTTCTGCTTTCGGTCGCTGGGGTTGAAATAAATTGGAATTCGATACAATATCTGGAAAATCACCGAGAAATGTCTATTTTACCATAACGTAGAAGCATTAATTTGACTTACCTTTTGTCTCTAGTGCTGAAGAAATAAATAGAGACCAAATCCACTTTGTTGCTGCGTATAATTATTTATTCGATTCACTTTAAATAAAGAAACGCCAAACTAAAAGCGAATTTGCGAAAAAACATATTTCCGCTCGACCTTTTTCTGCACGAGTATAAAAATCCACCCGCTCATGAATACAAACAGACCTACTTGGCTCATTATAGTAGTAATAAAATACACACTGCTATGAGCCCATGTTACGAATGGGATGATTCTATTTCTACGAGCTTTTTTGCCCATCCAAGGACGGGTATATATTGCAGTAAATCTGAAACATTCAATAGAAAAATTGTTCAGCTCATGATTTTTAATGAGGGGGGGGGGGGGTTGGCTCATGTGGAGTGACGTCACCCGTCAATGAGATTTGTGGAGGGGTGCGGTATGTGGAGTGACGTCACCCCCTCATGGTTATTGTGGAGGGGTGCAGCATGTGGAGTGACGTCACCCACTCATGATTATTAATGAGGGGAGGTGTGTGGCATGTGGAGTGCGCAAACTCCTTGTGCGTTAGTGTAAATTTCCACGCGGGCATGAATATTAATGAAGGGGGGGGGCCTCTTTTGCAGTAACGTCACGCACGGATGTAGCACTGTGCTGCGAATATTTTTTTTTTACCGTCACTTTCTGTAAAGAAACGTCATATTTGAAGCAATTTTGCGAACTTCCTCTGCGTTAGTGTAAAAATCCACCCACTCATGAAAATTAATGAGGGGGGGTGGGCCTCATGTGGAGTGATGTCACGCGTGGGACGGACACACATTTCTGAGTGATTATAGTAGGTAATTCTAAAATAGTAGATAAAAATGCATGAGTCCCTTAATACTGATTGGCTTGGTGCTCCAAACACCCGGTCACTTTTTACATGACTTGCAAGACTGTGCTTTGCCTGTGAGGTGGGAAACTACTCATTCATCATCAACCATGATCTATCTACAGCAGGATGAAGCCTTCCCCAAGTGATTAGCATGGTGACCAGTCAATCACCTTTTATTTTACTCAACTCAAAGGTCATCAGTTATAACCATCAATATACATTTCTGGTTACTTCAAAAGATTGAGCCTTCACTCAATATTGTTTGACAAAAAATGCTCAAGAACTGTGACTAACTGAAGGACAGATTAGATTCTTAAATAGATATCATGTTATTCGAGAAGTCATAAGTTCCCACTATTCCCATGTTTGAGAGGCTTCAACTCTGTAAAGCCACATGTGGCTGAGCTACTCACAATGTGTGTCCCATTTGACACATAAGCCACATAAATACTGCCAGTAGTTCCTATACTTCCTCCACGTAATCCCACTAATCCACAGATTCAAATGTCTGCTCTGTGCGCCATGTGGTCCATGCGAGTGTGTGGGGGCAATGCATGCTCACCAGGACGTGCCAGACGTTCTCGTTGGCACCCTCAAAGCTGCAGAAGCGGATACTGACGCCGAGCAAGCCCTGGCCACCCCACAGGTTGCTGGGAGTGATGGAAACATCGCGCACCTTCAACGTCTTGCTGCTGAACACGGACATTCGTACCGGCTTCTCCACGTTGGCCTTCAGCAGGTCCTTCAGTGTCTCGTTGTCCCTGTCCTGGCCACATCAATTCGCAACAATGAGTACGGTTAACGTCGCTATTCCTGCGCAGATTACGGAGGTTGCAGATAAAACTGTGTTTACGAAAAAGGGAAAAAGGAATGGAGGAATGGTATTCTACACTCATTCATGGCTTTAATTGCAGTTTGATTATTATCTGCTTCTCACCCGTTAAATACTCTACTTTCAAGAACAAAAACAGACCACGCATTCTACGTCTTAACCCCCATTCTACTTTTGTTTTTCCACTTGTTTTTGTTTTAACTGTAACCATCACTCCCCCCATGTAGCCCATAGAAGGAAGCTTACTGTACACATCTTATTTAAAAACCTTTTCAAAACAAAACATTTCGAACCTAACAATCTTGGTTCACTTTGATACGTTAATTTCTGGCGTTATTCCAAACTTAGTTGATCTATCAACGTTATGTTATTCGCGAATACAAATTATGTTTTCACATGTACTGTGAACGAAAACGTTGTAATGTTCAAACGCTGAATGAGTAGCTCGTGACATTGATATTCATTCAAATAACATCAGCTCACCAGCCTCGTGTTTCCAATTGATACAATGAAATCAAAGAAGGGCTCCAGACCTGCTCGATGTCCCGGAGAATTTTCCTGTACCTGTAAACATACAGATTAGCACGGTTGGCTACGTACGGTGCGAACGAAGTGCAAAATACATACAGACACATCTTGAATGAATGGTGGTTAAACACGACACATAGCGTGTTTTCCTCTTTGTAAAACAACCAGAGGCACACGTTATGCAAGCATGCGCAGCTCATTATTGTTCAGCACTTTCAAGAGGACAACCACGCTGTTTGCATCAGGTAATCATCGGCATCAGGTAGGTAGTGACCACGGTTGGGTGGGTAAGTCCTGGTGAGCATGCATCAATCAGGTAAGTAGAGACCCGCACCTTCGATTGGCAACGAAATGTGTGAAAGAAGTTTACCATACCACTACCGTTGCCATAAGCCACACCATCAATAATTGTGCAAATGTTACATTCCGCGTGTAAATATAGTTGGGTAAATTTCGCGACACGTGGGCATTGTAGCAAAACATAGAGCTCTCTCTGGTAACCAGATGGAGAGTCCTTAAGGTGAATTATGGCCTCGCGTCAACGTAAAAGCATTTATGGTACGAGACGTCCATCGTACAGCCACTCCCTGTCACCTTTGCCATGGCGGTGGCGGCTGCTAAGAGAACGAGGCGGATCTCAAGCACTAAAACAACAATACTGATAACAGACTGGGGTGAACAAACCTATGGGGGAAGATTAGGTCGGGAGGGGGGGCCCATCATTCAAGCATTGTGCGAAGTTTTAAACATTTGCAAGCACTGAATGAGGGCCGCGGCTTGCTCGAGTCAACACGGAGCTGTCAAAGCGGCGGAGGAATCACGAAGGCGGCGTCTGATGCGTGTTTCGAAGCTAAGCGGCTTTTAAATCGAGGTTAAATCGACACACTTGTCCATCTATTAGCGCCAAAGCATTTTTAAATTGCGTTAAAATCACGCAAAAAAAATAACAAATGCGAGGCCTAGCGGCGAAGCCTCGACCTGGCCTGACCCGGACCGGCCGGGCCTCGCGTGCTTTCCCCGGCAGGGAGGGGGTGGTTGGGGGGTAGGCTCCGCGGGCGTCCTCGGCGATCGGGGAAGGCGTCTTACAAGCCGCGCGGCGCGCGTGTCCCCCTCACCCTGAGGACGTGGTAGCCTTCGCTGCCCCCGCCGGGCACCTCGACGCTCTGCGAGCCGCCCATGGTGGTGGTAGGAGGAGGGGGGGTGGGTGTGCGTGCGTGCGGAGAGCGCCGCTCTCTAATCGGCTCTCGGCGGGGCCTTCTCGCCGAAGGGGCACGGTGAGGCTCGAGACGTCGGCGACGCGGCGCAGCGACGACTGACGTGGCGCCTCGCGGCGGCGGGGGCGGTGGAGGCGGAGGCGAAGGGGGCGGTGCCCACGCGGATGACGACGCGTGCTGATTGGCGCTGGCTACGTGTGGGAGGGTTGGGGGAGTGGTGGAGAATTACGCCCGGGGGGAGGAGAGGGGTGGGGTGGGAAGGGGGTGGGGTTAGGAGGGGGGGTTGCAGTGAAGGGTGAGGGGCGGGGGTGGGGGGAAGGGGAGGGGTTGGGGGGTTGGAGTGAAGGGTGAGGGGCGGGGGTGGGGGGAAGGGGAGGGGTTAGGGGGTTGGAGTGAAGGGTGAGGGGCGGGGGGTAGGGGGAAGGGGAGGGGCTAGGGGGTTGGAGTGAAGGGTGAGGGGCGGGGGTGGGGGGAAGGGGAGGGGTTGGGGGGTTGGAGTGAAGGGTGAGGGGCGGGGGTGGGGGGAAGGGGAGGGGTTAGGGGGTTGGAGTGAAGGGTGAGGGGCGGGGGTGGGGGGGAAGGGGAGGGGTTGGGGGGTTGGAGTGAAGGGTGAGGGGCGGGGGTGGGGGGAAGGGGAGGGGTTGGGGGGTTGGAGTGAAGGGTGAGGGGCGGGGTGGGGGGAAGGGGCGGGGTTAGGGGTTGGAGTACAGGGTGAGGGGCGGGGGTGGGGGGAAGGGGAGGGGTTAGGGGGTTGGAGTGAAGGGTGAGGGGCGGGGGTGGGGGGGAAGGGGAGGGGTTGGGGGGTTGGAGTGAAGGGTGAGGGCGGGGGTGGGGGGAAGGGGAGGGGTTGGGGGGTTGGAGTGAAGGGTGAGGGGCGGGGTGGGGGGAAGGGGCGGGGTTAGGGGTTGGAGTACAGGGTGAGGGGCGGGGGTGGGGGGAAGGGGAGGGGTTGGGGGGTTGGAGTGAAGGGTGAGGGGCGGGGTTAGGGGTGTGGGGAGTGAAAAGGGGGCGTGATTATGGGCGGCACGTCAGAATCAGAATATTTATTTTTTCAGGAGGAATTCCGATGAGCTGTGAAGCTCTTTATCACAAATGTTGACCACTGGAGGTCAGAACTCTATTATCCGAGTTAATTACCCTTTGAGCTATACAGCTCTTTGTCAAGGGTGACTAGGCCAAGCAGCTACAATTAATAAGATATAAATTATTAAAAATGTAAAATAAAACCAAATTATGTTACAAAACAATTACGCACATTCTTTTCGATCTCAATAATGTCTGTCTAAAAGAGTCCAGTGATAGCAGAGTGATGATCCCCAGAGAAGACCCCAGTTGGTTCCAAAACTTTGGAGCAGCAGCTACATGGACCAAGTTGCGTACGAAGTGTCACCACTGGATTAAGCTGGTTGCTATAGTGATTGGGCATGTATTAGTTTATTGATTTATCCGCTATGGAATGCCAACATTTGAAGTTCATGATCGGCTTGTGTGTTTGTAGAATTCATGTTTCGTATATAAACAATTTTTTTTACTCCGATTTTTCCCCTCCATATTTAGAATAAACACGCGTTTATTTGTGACCAGGTCGCTTCTGAACTAGAGTGGGCCTTACCTGGTAAAATTTAATAAAATAGTAGTATCTAGACTTAAAACTTTCGTGACTGCAGGAATTCATATTCTTGGTTCTTTCTGTAAAGTCACGTAAATAGTAAACAAAAAATCTAAAATAAAAGCAAAAAACCCAACACAAGCGGTCTTCTTCAGGCGATTGAAACGTCGTGGGTTTGCTTTTATTTTCTATTTCCGTGACTTTACCGAAAGAACTAATAATAAAAAATAGTAGTAGTAAATAGTACATTTTATAAATTGAATATTCAATAGGTATTCAATAAAATAATTGTGTATTACCGATATACCAATAAAGCATCCATCAATTCCACTGTTTTATTTTACGAATGCTTGATTAAATTGTCGATATATCGACTGAATAAATTCATAAACATACATGACAGTCCAGTTTTTTGTCAATCCATTGCTGAGTAAAAGCCTCCCCATGATGTGTAGTTATAGGGCTGTTTGACCATACTTTACCATGCTGGTTAGTGCAGATTGGTGACGGGGGGTGGGTGGTTTGGGGCGTGTCTGTTCAATTCGCCAGGAATTGAACTCATGTCTCTAGTTGATGGCGCAGTCCGCTGAACACAAGTGCCACCGCTCCACCCCATATTCACAGCATAGTCTGAATTCCATATAGGCTACTGCACAATGTCAATGTGTCCACGGATTGCTCAGTACATTAAGGTATTCACAAAGCATGTATCAGTTGTTATCGCATTGCACAAAACCACTTGTATCAGCCATCCAGAACTCATACATGTGTCAGCCAGCACCCTGCGTGTACCAGCCATTCATAAACTATTGCATATGTATGCACCAGTCAGCAACACCGTTGTGCCAAGCATGAGACATATCCTCACTGATGACGGAAGACCTATACATACCACCCACCCAGCCTCCACATACCATCCAGCAGCCTATGCGTACCAGCCAGCCAGCCAGCCGATGCGTACCAACCAGCTAAGTCACTCGGAGTGTACCACTCAGCCATCCGGGCAGCCAGGCAGCACATCTTGACGCTTTCTTTATTCACAAAAAAAAAATCCCTTCAATGCCCGGCTTTGTTCGCGGTCCTCGCTCGCAAAGTTCCCATAGCGACGCACAAAGCGGTCCCTGCGGAGCGACCTTCGGGTCTTTTGTCTCGAAAACATTCCCCTTTGTGGGCGTCAGGAGCTCGCGGCTCTTGTCACTTCAAGTCGTGCCAGCGGCGAGGCCTCCTCGCTTCGGCGGCGTCCCCCGGCGCAATCTCGACAGCACAAACGACCATCGGAGTGTCGACTGTTACCCACCGACATTGCATCTGGCTCCTGTCGCTCTCTCTCTCTGTCTGTCTCTCTATGTTCGTCTCGAACTGTTCCTCTGTCTCCTGGTGGTAACCGGCGCGTTTAAAATTCGGATTATGCGTGCGCGTTCGTGTGGGAAGTTCCTGCCAGGCGCTTCCAAGACCGAGAAGAAGTTGAATGAAAAGTGATTAATTATGTAGTGTCCAGCCTCGCCGAGGGGGGCCCCTTTAAGATATGCGTTTCTATTTTCGGAGCTTCATTATATCAGGTGCATATACCATGCGCAGGGTGTAGTTGTAATCTGTGTAAGGGCTGAAAATGAATGTGATGCGTCATATCACAGTCTACATACAATAATAGCAACAACAAGCACCATCAGCATTCAAAAGTGCTCTTACGACCGAGATTGTCGCATCAAAGGTACGTGTCGGGGCAAAAAGAGCGTGTGCTATGATTAAAGATGGCAAGCGTGTGTCTGCGTAGAATTCAGATAATGCGCCTTCATTCACTTTGTCTCGCGAATCGGGAACAATATCGCGTCTTCCTTGGCACTAAACGGCTGTTTCCTTACAATCGGTCTTCTACTTTCGGTCGAATTCATTGGTCGGACAATCTGAATGTGATTGATATGAACCATTGGTCTTCTATGTCGAACTTTTTTAAAAAATCCTTTATATTAAGTTCACTTGCTTGCTTGCTTAGGACCGTGCAAATCTTTCGGTCGTTTTTTAACCCACTTCCCGTGATCCAATCGAGCTGACATTTTCCACACAGACTCGTTGTGCGTGACAATTAATGTTCGTGAAAATGTTTTTCCACAATTTTACACTTTTTAGGACAAAAATATAATATTTAATTACCAATTGCTTAATGCTGCCATGCAATCATCTGACCCATAGGTGGCAGCCATCTCAAGCCAGAGGACGAGAGGACTCTAGCCGCCACGCATATAAAGGATTTATAGTGAAAAACTTTGTTTTTACGGGTTATACTTGTTTATCCTGCTGTGTTATGGATATGTGTGAACATGTTCAGCTGCAAAACTGTGCGTCGCATAGTTTCCGATTATTTGTAGCCGTTGGCATTGTTCGAAACGAATCTCTCCCTTGAAAATTGTCTTATTAATGGCAATTAGTTAAACAGAAAAGCTTCACTGACATTAAGCCTCTTTTCGAAGGAGGGTACTGCGTTGGAAAGTTTGGTCAATTCCATAAAAAAAAAAGTATTTGGCTTCATACGAGATAGAACCGGAGTGCCCGGAAGAAAAAAAATCCCATCACGAATACGAGATAAACAATCAAAAGCTCCGCACGGATGGATTGCGTTGTTGCACTGCATTTTCTCTGGCACCTCGACGACCCGCGTCTACAACACCTGGTAACCACAGGTGGTCTCCCATTCACAGAAACTACGAAGCAGGATGAGCCCCGCTTAGCTTCACGCGGTGTCGTGAGATCGGGCGCACTTGGGGTTATTTTATGTCGTATTCAAGAGGCTTGCCTACCTCACTTGCTAATGAAACAACATTACTCGTGTCGTTGTTGCTGTTGCTCTTCACGAAGCGTGCTGCGCAAAGGCAGTGGCTTCTCCCGAGGAGTAAGGCGGACGAGAAGGGGGAGAGGAAGGAGGAGACCACCATCCTGGAAACTTCACAGGGATGAATGCTCAAAGCTGCATTGTTACTACAGTGCAGCGGTCTCCGCCTGCACTCTGAAAACGCTGACTGCGAGAAAAGCCCTCCGCTCACATGAAGAGAGAAAAGCGAGATCGGGGGTGGGAGCCCTCGCGCGGCGGTCCGTGCGTCCCGTAGCACTCCACCCTCATCACGTCAGCGAGACGCATGCTCTGCGTAACCCAGCAGCAGCAGCGGCGGCGGCGGGAGCTTAGAGACACAGAGGCAGTGGTCATCCGCGCCGCCCTTTGCAGGTAACAGAGGCGCGCACACACGCGGTCGCTTAGCAGTGGTAACATGCAAACCCACTCCCGGGTCGCTACGTTGACCGGTACGCGTCTTCGCCGGGACTCCGTGGAACTGATTGGTCTTCTTCATTCGGAATTCAACAAAATTGAGTTGCTGCGTTGGCACCGGTGCGTGCACCACCAGCGCAATGATAACAATAATACAATCTCCACACATTCGTCAATTCCACATCCCAAGAAGGGAAATTATATTATCGGCGACGTTTCGGGCAATGGCCCCTCTTCGTGTAGGTTCAACTTCTCTCGCACCGTGCGTAGCCAACCATGCTAATCGGAGCAGAGGCATGCACGTTTACTTTAGAATAGTAAAATAACAAATGACAGCCCTTTTGTCAATCAATTGCTGAATGAAAGCATCTCCAGTCGTGTCGGACATGGCAGTTGTTTGACCCCTCCTTCACCATGTTGGTCATTGCAGTTTGGTGACGGGGATAGAGGCGCGCGATCGGTTCAGATTTCATTCGGCACTTAAAGATGTTAACCGTGGCCGAGAATCGTGTTAATGGCAGCAGTGTCCTAACCACTGCGCCACTAATTTTGATGTTAATCATAAAAAAACGGATTTGATTATCATTGATGTCCCATTGTTATCGTGATGAGCGCGCCTCATGTATACTTACGTGGCATAAAGGAACTTAATGAGGCTTTATATAACGGGTTGCAAGCGTCGACTACGAGAAGGAAGCATCGCAGATATATTGTGAGAGAGAACCCCACCCCTGCCCCATTCATGCAAGTCCGTGCGCTAATCTCTGAGGATCAAAATGTTAATTTAATGACCCGCGAATTGGTCATAGCTCTCTCTCTCTCGAGAGAGAGAGAGATTGTGGCGAGAGTTAACGGGCTGGCGGATACACTGGGATACTTTGAGCGTCCTGTGTGCACATGATAGAAAAATATATATATATATAAAAAGCACAATTATTAAGGCTTTCTCGTGAATGGACACTTCAGGTTAAGTTGTCGATGGTGACACCAGGCGTCGATCAATCACCTCGATGTATAACCCCTTCTCCTCCTACTCACCCCGGGCGCCGCCACAATCTCACCCACCTCTCCATCTCACCAACTCTCCACCCGTTGGGCCTTCGCATCGATTGTCTATGTGCACTTCGTAAATTGCGTGCGTGCAGCAAACACGATATCAATATTCTTGGGTCTTTCGGTAAAATGACGCAGATAGTCACGTAGATAGGTTATTTGAACCAAGCTACGTCACTTTACCGAAAGACCCAAGAATATGAATTCCTGCAGTCACGAAAGCTTTAAGTCACAATATCAATAATTAACACACGCACACACAAACAACACAAAACTCACCGCCGCCCTGTGCTCATCAGTCACCCGCCGCTTGACTGCAGTGATTAGATGTTTGATCAGCTTTGTCAACATCCGTCTAGGAGCGCGCGAAGATCCTGAATGTGTGGCCTCCTCTCCTCCTTACTCCCACCCCTCCCCAACCCCCTCAACTCACGGGACAGACATTGACACGCCGTTAGCAAAGCCCTCACCCCCATTACGTGGGACAGACGGCATCGCCAGATCGCCACAGCAAGGAGAGAGACGCCCACGCGCTGTGTGCTCGACGGGAATGACGGACGGGACGTTGCGCAAATCGCGCAAAATTGTCCGCACAAATCTCCAGAATTCACGGGCCTGAGAGCGGTAAGGACATTTTGAATTAAGCCGATTTTTCACAGCTGTTCCTGCGTGTTGTTTTTCCTTCTTCCTCGTAGAGAGAGGGGGGGGGGGGGAGAGAATGTGTTATTTCCTCTCAAGTGTGTCGAGGTGTCTGCACCACCGGCTCTCTTCCCGTGCGACCCCCGAAATTCCCCCATCCGCTTTCCCTCCACGGACCGGACCCCCCCCCCCCCCCCCCACCACGAACTCCTAGCAGCACCTGCCTCGCTCTGCGGGACCTCCTCAGTGGGGGGGGGGGGGGGTCTGTCTCGCACCTCCGTAACTTAATCCCTTCCCCCATTAGCCCCTGTCGCGACTACGGTACACTTTTACCCGGTCGCCTCTTCATTGTCGCTCGTTTGTGGCCACAGAGATATAACACTTCGCCGCGAGGCGCCCGAGTCTTACACTCGCTCGCCCGCTCTGGGGTTCGTTCGGATTTTCGAAGATACGTTGTCGGTGTCCTTTTTAGCTTACAAGCTCGGAACGACCACGAGGCGCCCCACTCAAACGACGCAGGTATTCGTCGTTGGTTAACGCAAGCCTGCATTTTAATCTCGGCAGGCGCTCACACTTTCGTGTTCTTTGTTGCAAATCGGTAAGCTCAACTTGTTCCGCTTTGACGCGTAATTTGTCCTGATCTGTGCTCTCAACAGGAGCTCCGCGCGCGCCTTTAGCTTCAGCGCGAGCGATGCAATCTTTGCAGGCTGATTGCGAGGATTGCGAACCGAAGACGCGCGTTTAAGTGATGGATTTGGTTCATTAATCGCACGCTGTATTTCTGCGAGACAGCCTGCTCCGGGTTTCGGGGTGCACGCCGTGGGATGAGGACGCCGACTGACCCGCAGTGAGAGCGCAACTCAGCGCCCTCTCTTTGGCTCCCGACGCCAGCCGAAGATCCTTTCATCACTCCCTGCATCCGTCACCTACGTCCATCCATCTCAACACCCATTCATCACCTCTGTCTATCTGTCCGCCTCTGCCATTCTTCCATCCATCTGTCCATCGCCTCCGTCCACCTATCCATTAATCCCTCTCGTCAGTCACGTCCATCCATTTAACCATCGCTCTCTCCCTCCGTCTCCCCACCGCAACCATCTCTCCCTCGCTAGCCATCTCCTGTGGCTGCTGGCTCCGCCGTGGCCGGTCGCCTACCCCCCATCTCTCTCTCTCTCTCGCTGTGGCCATGTACCGCGTGGCCCTGACGGCGCTCCGCCTGCTGCAGGCGAGACGAGCCCGGCCCGCGACCGCGTGGCGCGCCGCCGCTCTGCTCGCTCTGCTGCTGCTCGCCGCGCTCGTGCTGCGCGCCGACGTCTCGCGCCGCTCTCCGCGCCTCCTCCTGCCCCTCCCCGTCGCCACGCCGTCGGGCGGAGGGTCCGAGCTGCTCCAGGTGCAGCCCGAAGACCTGCCGGGGAACGGGGACCTCGAGGGCGCCGCGGACGACGCGGAGGGCAATCCCGGGGCTCCAGCGCGCGTGGGAGCCGTGCCGCGCCTGCAGATTAGGGCCCCCGCCAAGAAGCAGGTACGGGAAACCCTCTCTGCATGCCGCGAGTTCTGGTTTCGCGAGCTTCGCTTTTTCGCGTTCTAATTCCCTATTCGCGAACCGCTGGACTCCAGTAGTCGCGAGTGTGCCGAGTGGCAGATCACCGAGTCGGGCGTGCGGTCCATTAAAAAAGAACGCGAATGTCATCAGGGAAAGTGTTGCGGCGAGCGCTTCCCAGAGTGCTACATTAAAACAACTGTGCGGCGTTGTTATCACCTCACGAGGAGTCCTCGCGAATTCTTCACAATCACTACCACTTTTATCGTCGTCAAATCATCATCAAAGGTAATAAAACAACACGGCATTCTTCATAACGAATTATTGATGTATTGTAGTCATTGTTATTCAACATTTACCCCCCATGTTAACTCGTACCCTGGAACGTAACCCCGTTATCCCCATTGCAACAAGGTTTCTGCATTCGCGAATGCTGCACCCGCGAGCGTTTTTAAGAACGTAACTAACGCGGTTAGAGAGGGTTCGCTGTATTATACGTGTGGAGGTGTGCGCGCCACGACCACTCGCCTACGCTAATTCAATACGGTCTCCATCCTATATGGGCGTTGTTCATTAACGCCCAGCCTATGCCGTGCATGTGCTATTTACTATTTTTATTTTACCAGGTAAGGCCCACCGAGCTACTCTATAGCTCTTTTTTGCAGAAGCATCTTGGCCATCACAAATGATAGCTCAACGAAGTGGCTTATCGCGTGGAAATATGAGAGCAGGCTAATCCTCTAAACGCGTGTTTCTAATTGTGGAGGGGGGAAACCCGGAGGATCCGGAGAAAAATCCACGCGACCACGGGGAGAGAAACATGAAAACAGTAAATATACAGGCGTCATGGTCGGGATCGAACCTACAATCTCCTGCATACCAGGCGAGGTAGTTAACATCTTTCTGGATGCGGGCTTGCAACGCCGCGCGGGTCAAATGGTGGGGGTTATTTGACCTCTTCGTCACCTGGTGCTGGTCGGTAAATGGCAAGAGTGCACTGAAGACGTGGGGACATATAAAGTCCAGTACAACGGTTGATTTAGCGTCACTGCTACCTGTTGCCCAACATATACAATTACAGTACACTTTGGATGTACAGTACTGTATTGGACACACTGAAAACGGGGTTCGCGTTGGTGGTGTTGCAACTCGCTGACCCGCCCATACTCGACATCTTCATAGGTCATCGGATGCCTCCTGCAGTCTAAATAAAGATTCTGATTATGAAAAAAAGAAAAACCTTAAATGGGGTTTCGGCAGGACGGTGATGGAGGATGGACCAGGCTGGTGACTGAATGACAGCCTCGGGGAAGGAGGGAACGCGCCAAAGAAGATGACGCACGGCAGAAGGGGGAGCGACGCGATTAGTTCGCGTGCAAGTTGTGGATTCGAACGTGGCATCGCGTGACAATGACAGCTGGCGACGGCGTGGCTCGGACCTTTATCCGGCAGCGGATAGATCGTGGTGGGCACGATGATGATGATGATGCTGGTCGCGTATGTATATTTGCAACTGTATCTTACTTAGAATGATGTGCGCAGAGTGGAGATGCGATTTACAGGGATAGCTTAAGCACACGCACTTGCTTAATAAGACAGTCGGTCATAAAGGATGAGGAAAAAAGGGCTTGCGTATCGACTGAATCAATCGTGGTAATGACATACAAGCACGGATAACCTTCGGAGGAGGAGGAGGGGGGAGGGGGTCCAGATTACGTTGGCAGCAGCAGGAGAAGGAGTGAACCCCACCGCGTGAAGGTTGACTTGAGATTTTTGGCTGGAGACCTCGGTTGGTGAATCAGGGGAGCGCGCGGAGCAGAGCGAGGGGGCAATGGAGGGAGGGGAGAGGTACGCGGTGGGGAGGGGCGAGTCTGTGGGGCATCTTGAAGACGGTGAGAGCTATCCCGCATCTCCGATTAGCGCGCTTGGCTACGTACGGTGCGAAAGAAGTTCAACGTACGTTGCCATTGGACGTGGGTGGTCGACGTGGAGGCGGGATGAGGCTCACCCCCAACCCGGGCTTTCACTGCGTTGTTGTTGTTGTTGTTGCTGTTGTTGTTGTTGTTGCGTGCTGCCTACTATCCGAATATTGCGCATTGCCCCGCAGAGCCGAGTGCAGTCCGTAATTCCGTGCGCACTAATGATCAATTATGTAATAATTATTATCCGACAAGATCCGGCAGCTCTGCGCGTAATTTATTCAGAACGTGGGTCCCAACAGCCGCAGCAGCCGCCTCACGCTGGCTACAGATCCATTTTTGAGGACACGGTAATTGCTGCTGTCGTTAATTCTCATTTATATGTGTTTTTTTGTATCGCCTTTCTCACCGAATTGCGCCAAGGATTTGTCTTTGTGTTGACCTAGTTGCGTAAAAAGTTGCTCGTCCTAAAAAGAAGGCACTATTCTATTCATGGCGCGTACACCACGACGTTTTTGACCTACCTCTGATCGTGTGGATTTTCTTACTTTTTGTTTTTCACGCTTTTATTTAACTCTGTCTGTCTGTTATTGTTGTTGTCATATTCTCAAATCTTGTAACTCAATTTTAACCCACTTATCTATTTGGTGTCGACTGCAAACTTGGTTTACTGTACTTATGGCACACTGATGACAATACTATATTCTATATATAAAAAAAATACATTCGTTTTTATATGTTGTGTTTCGGCTTGGGTCTAATTGTCCACGGTCAACTCACGTTGGCTGTAAATCACCACTGCCCCTTACGTTATCACAAGCTTTGGGGCCACTTCCTAGAGTCGTGGAGTTCTGCCATTTCGAGTACGGTACATTTCATTAAAGCGTGTTTAAAAAAAGTTTTTTTAAATATTATTTATTTTTGTTCATCACGAAATAACCTGACGAACGCGTACCCTACGTTGGCATGAAACAGTGAGATGGTTGCAAAGCTTGCGCATCGACGTGAACCGGTGGGGTGCAGTGGTCGTGCAGTGGTTAGGACTGTTCTACCAACCCGGCCGCCTGGGTTCAACTCCCGGCCACGGCTAACATCAGTGGCCAGTGAAGTCTTTCCGATGCACTTCTGCGGCCGTCTGGAACGTTCTTCCTTTCGATATTAGGAAACCACTAGAGCTAGGCATTTAAAATCTAGATTGAAAAAACACATTTCTTTCCAACTGATTTTTGCGTTCAGTTTGTTTTCCTTCCTCCGCACCTCCGATTAGCACGATTGGCCACATACGGTGTGAAAGAAGTTCAACACACATACATCTGTACCAGTTGTGGAGTACCTATTTACCAACAAACATACACTGACCAGCGTGGTGAAGTGTGGTCAAAAAGCCTGCCTGACCTGCACAACATAGGGAGGCATTCATCCGACAAAGGGCTGCAAGCGAGCGAGCGAGCAAATGCATATCTGCACCTTTACCTTTGAGCGTCGCATTATTGTAATAGTTTCGGCTTTCCCGACATACCGCACAACTGGAGAGGCCCTGCTCCCCACATGGCTTTGTGACCTTTTACACGTCCACTGCGAATGACCCGTGCGTGATCGCCGGCGCTGGTTTCTCTCTTTCTTGCCTCCGGACGACGAGTAGGCGAACGAAGCGAGGAGCTCTCAGCCCTGCAGCCGCTCTGACCACTACGGCCCCGACGAGCTGAAGCCTCACCTGGGGAGGCCCTCGCAGGACCCGCTGGCGCCCGGCGCCCGCGGGGCCGCGGTCCGTCTCGGGGCACTGTCGCCCGACGAGCTGGACGAGAAGGAGCGAGGCTTTGCCAAGCACTGCTTCAACGTGTTCGTCAGCGACCGCATCTCCCTCCACAGGGACCTGGGGCCCGACACGCGTCCGCCCGAGTGAGACTTCAGGGCGGGTTTATGGGCTTCGAAGGCCTTCTTCCTCTGCCCTTTGATTATCTGTCTAAAATACGAAATCACGTTTCGCTTCTTTTGTCCATCTGTGAGTCAGTATGTTACTTGAGTCGCTCTCTTGGGTAGTTTTCCATTATATTTGGTTAGATCGCCGTGCATATAAATGAGTCGTTAAACCCACCACCACCACCATCACCTGACAGCCAGTTAGTAAGGTTTGTCATGTTAACAAAACGTGCCAATTAGTTACTACTTAGCACACCGGTGTTGTGTTGGAGAGTAAACTCACAATATGTACAATTCGAGTACGACGTTTCACTAGTAATTACAACCAGCCTCATCAGGTGACAGCCTACGTGTTAAACTGATGAGTTTTCATCACAGAAAGCAAGCCTTTGTGATTTGCAAATGGTTGGTGAAATTGGTAAACTAAAACGAGTTTTATACTCAACTATGTAGATTGAAAACTAATTTCTTTAGAATTGCTTTCTATGTTTAGTTGTCCTTCCCCGCACCTCCGATTAGCACGGTTGGGTACTTACGGTGTGAAAGAAATTCCCCGTACACACATACCGCCCTCACATGCAACAATGGAGTCTGCCAAATATTTCTGGCATTTGGCACATATACAGTAGATGCTGGATATAAGCACACCTCATAAAAGCACGTCTCTGACACGAGCAACACGTGCTTACATTACACTGGTGGGGGGTGTTAAAGGGCAACTTCTGATACAAGCACACTTCTTCAGATATAAACACACTTTGCCTTGGTCCCAAGAAGTGTGCTTACATGCAGCCTCTGCTGTATATCACTTGTCTAGAGCAGACAATGGTGATTGCTGTTTTCTTCTCGCGAGTCCAGGGGTCGACAACAGAAACAACAAGAAGAGTCATTCTTTTTAATTCAGTAAAACACATATTTCAAGAGCCGCAATGCACTGTGTGGTGAATACGAGACGGCGAGTCCTTAATAAATAACTTCACGAAGCAGTCCTTAAAGAGTCGCAGGCGGCTCCAGAGCCGCAGGTAGCCGACCCCTGCACATGGTTAACTGGAATTCCATGACCAGGGGTCGGCAACCAACATAACAAGAACAGAATTTTTTGTGGAATTTCGAGGTCCGCCCTTAAACGGGCCGCATGCGGCTCCGAAGCCGCAGGTCGCCGACCCCTGCGCTCATGCCTCATATTCCATGAGTGGGGGGCAGTTCACCACTGGTGCAGTCTTCTTGGTTCTTTCGGTAAAGTCACGTAGAATGGAAATAATAAAATAATAATAATTGTTTTATAATGTTTTATTTTATTATTTTATTATTTACATTCTACGTGACTTTACCGAAAGAACCAAGAAGATGAATCCCTGCAATCACGAAAGCTTTAAATCGAAATCACTGGCGCAGTATTACGAAAGTCCAAGCTCAGAGTTGGTACCACAAAATCCACAGTCCTCTACCCTCCTCCTCCTTCTATGCCCCCTCCATGGCCAGGTGCGTGCAGCAGAGATTCCCGCGGTCGCCGCCGCTGCCCACGACGAGCGTGATCGTGGTGTTCCACAACGAGGCGTGGAGCACGCTGCTGCGGACCGTGTACAGCGTGCTCCACACGGCTCCCGCACTGCTGCTCGTCGAACTGCTGCTGGTGGACGATGCCAGCACGGAAGGTGGCAGCGAGGGGCGCGTGCCGGGTGGCCACCGCGGCTTCGTTTCCTCTGGGTCCCTTACGGTTTTTTCGCCCTCCGCATTTAGAATCGACGTGCGTTGAGAGAATTTGGCTGCGTTTCGATTTAAAGCTTTCGTGACTGCAGGGATTCATCTTCTTGGTTCTTTCGGTAAAGTCACGTAGAAGGGAAGTAAGAAAATAATAAAAATAAAACATAATAAAATAAAATTCTCACTTTTTTCTTACTTTTTTCTTACTCGATTAGCTGAGCCTTCTTATCTGGGAGTTTGTTGAAGGATCTCAAAGTTATGTGGAATCCATCCCCGTAGAGGCGGTTAAATTTCGATTTCAAGGTTTCGTGACTGCAGGGATTCATCTTCTTGGTTCCTTCGGTAAAGTCACGTAGAAGGGAAATAATAAAATAATAACGTCGTGAGAATTATTTTATGATGTTTTATTTTTATTATTTATTATTTCCCTTCTACGTGACTTTTCCCGAAAGAACCAAGAAGAAGAATTTGGCTGATAAAAAAAAATGTCCACGCGAATAAAGCCACCAATATTGGGCTGTCATTTGTGTGCCAGGTCACTTCTGAAAAAGAGTTATATAGCTCAATGGGCCTTTCCTGATAAAATAAAATTTGTTAATATAGTTATTTACTCACTGATTACTTCATGGGTCGTCGGTAAACTCGGAGGTGGCACGTGAAGAGCAATCGCAGCCATAGAAAGAGGTGTTTTGGATGTGGTATGCCGGGGGTGGAAATAATTTCTGTGTCGCTGATCCAGACAAGCACGGATGAAATGAATCCCTGATTGTAAGGATTCACCACGCCCTGTCATTCGATGCATTGTTGTTTGGGTGGCGATTCGTTTATAGAATCACGTGGATTTTATTTTATTTTATTTCACACGTGTTCGTTTTTTATTTAATCCGTCTCGTTGTAGCATTTTGTCCACTCCGTTATCCTAAATGTAATGACAAGATATCATTTGCATGTCATGTACTACAGTCATAAATCATCTTACGGGAGTGTTGGCACATTAGTTAGCGTGCTGTGCTTTGAACCCAGCATACCGAGTATCAGCAGCGAGTGACATTTCGAACCGGTCCTGGCACCCCCTTCACCAATCCGTGATGTATGGTAAAAACAAACCCATATAACAGGCTTGGCTTGAGTAGACCTTCATCCGGCAGTGGATTTAGAAAGGCCTGCAAAACATTTTCAGAGACACAATTCGATGCATTTATTGTGAGAGTGAGAATCGATTGATGTTGATAAAAGAAAAACATCAGCTTGATGATTAATTTGCTAATATTATGATGTTACTGATCTGGCATAGTGATGCAAATGATGATGCAAATGATGATGCAGATAGCCACGGTGGCGAGATGTTAACTACCTCGCCTGGTATACATGAGGTCGTTGGTTCGATCCCGACCCTGACACCTGTATATTTGGGGTTTGCATGTTCTCCCGTGGTCGCGTGGATTTTTCTCCTGGTAATCTGTTTTTCCCTCCACATTTAGAATCAACACGCGTTCAGAGTATTTGGCATTTATACATTTCCACATGATGATAAGCCACTTCGTTGAGCACACATTTGTGGCCAGGTCACTTCTTAAAACGAGCTATATAGCTCAGTGGGCCTTACCTGTTAAAAAAAAAACACGTAGTTCAGTTTTAGTTTATGATAAATCGCAAACAATGATGGACATACATTGATATTGATTTCATCTTATGATGATGACAATGATATTGGCGATGGTTATCCATCGTTACGACGGTGATTATCACCATGCTGCTGCTGTCGTGTGCCTCCGTGCTCGTGCGTGTGTGGCAGATCACCTGGGCGCGCGTCTGGAGGAACACGTCTCTCACCTGGGCGGCCTGGTGCGCGTGCTGCGCCAGCGTCCGCGCCGCGGCTTAACGGCCGCGCGGCTGCTGGGCTCCCGTGAGGCTCGCGGAGACGTCCTCACCTTCCTGGATGCGCACTGTGAGCCGCCGCCGCGACACCACCACTGTGTCTGCCGCACACAAGCGACGCGCAACACAACAATAGCGTTAGGATAATTGTTTTTTTACCCTTCTATCTGGCAACAAAAACTGACACCTTTTTACAAGGAGTCATGTTTGCATAGACCGCAATACCTGCAGTCATAAATACAAACAAAAGACATAACTCTGATAATGTGCACTTATCAAAGTTATGTCTTTTGTTTGTATTTATGACTGCAGGTATTGCGGTCTATGCAAACATGACTCCTTGTAAAAAGGTGTCAGTTTTTGTTGCCAGATAGAAGGGTAAAAACCCAATTATCATATTTTTACTGGCAAATGAGGTTCCCATAGAATAGCGTTAGGATTTATGGAGCAGGTGTGTAACATCATTGCACGCGTTTACTCGTGCGCCATCGTGCAAACTCCGACCCTGTCCGTCCAGTGCTCTTCGAGCTGCGTTGGCATCCGTTCGCTGAACGAATATTTGCGTAAGTGCTTGCCGCAAATGAACAAAAATACCTTGCTGATATCGTCAAGGACCGTAAACCATCACGCGAACTCCGGTCATCTTCACAGCAGCGACTTTTGGCTAGCCATCGAACAAAGATGTTTGCTGCCTGTAACGCTCTTCCTTCTGATATTAGAGAGCCACTGAAGCTGTATACTTTAAAATCATCTAGATTTAAAACTCATCTCTTTCGAATTCATTCATATTTTTTGTTTGTTGTCCTTCCCCCACACTTCTAATTAGCACGGTTGGCTACGTACAGTACGAAAGAAGTTCAACATACATACATTCTCAAGTTGACTCTTTTCTAATTGTCTAATTGTATATTTATATAGAGTACTTTCACTCAAGGCGCTCGACATACCTTACAAGGCGATGACAGCACGGAATGATGTACGTGACAGGCGCGTGCTACAATGGTTGAGGAATGAGCGAGAGCAATAGAGTTGCGCTTAGGGATCACGAATGGCCAGGGGAGGGACGGGAAGGTGTGGAGGGGCGACTGGAAGGAAGAGAATGGGCAATAAAGAAGAGGTGAGGCTTTAGGAGAGGAATGGGAGGCGGTTTAGGAGGGGGACTGCTTTCATGTTCAGGTGAAGTTTATTCCAGTGGCGGGGTGCAAGGAGGGAGAAGGACCGAAAAACTGGGATTGGGCACAGCGAGAAGGAGGGACGGAAAGAGACAGGCCGACGATTTCAAGTTTCAAGTTTCATTTATTAGGTATAGCCCTGTGAGCCATTCGGCTCTTGAATCGGGTGCAACCGCAACAAAAAAACATGAACAAGAAAACATCTTAAAGTGACTATGTGCAAACAGAAAATCCAAGAAAAGACAGCAAAATATTGCAGAAAAATCACCGTACACCAACCCTGTGCAAATATCCCAGTGGGATGCAAGTCAAACAACAACAACCACAAGACAACTTAGATTAAGGCCATCAGTCTAACTCTGTACTACAACAAACAAACATGGCCAAACCTAAAAACTTTTCAAAAATCACCAAAATAAAGCCATAAAAGCAATGAAACAGTGATCATAGGAACTATGACCGAATTTTCACAATAAACGACATAAACAACATGTACCACCAAACTCTGCAGCCATAACTGGCTGCATGAGTCACTCCACAACAGCAGGAGCATCAATCGGAGTGTCAACATTTTTCAATGCACCTTTAAGATCAGCACACTAAATCAAAACACAGATCATACTTTGCAGCGATCATCCGGAGCGAAACATCGTATTTTAGGCCACTGAATTGCAGTGGCAGCTAGGGGTGTACAACTCCTCTACGATTGGGAACGAAGAGGAAATTGTAAGGAGATGAGAGAGGCAAGATGAGGTGGGGCAAGGCCATTCAGAAATTTGAAGGCTAGCGTCAGGTATTTGAAAAGACAGCGGTGTAGTAACTGGGAAGCCAATGGAGTTGAAGGGGGAGGAGAGGCGAAGTGTAAGAATTAAAGGGGAGATTGAAAATAACTGGTGTTGAAGCATTTTGAATTTGTTGGAGGGAAGTGATGAGAGAGGCAGGGAGACCGAGTAGAAGATAATTGCAGGAGTGCAGAGGGGTAAAGATCAAATAATGAACCAGGGGTTTGACAGCAGAAATTTAAGTGAGAGGGCGGATTTTCCTGATGAAAGCGACAGATGCGAGTTGTAGCGGTGATGTGGGAGAAAAAAGTGAGGGAAAAGTCAAAAGTATGTAGAACTTCTTTCGCACCGTACGTAGCGAACCATGATAATTAATCGGAGCTGCGGGGTAAGGACAACAAACAAAAAATATATAGTTTTCAATCTATATTTAAAAGTGCATCCCTACAGTGGCTTCCTAAAATCGGAAGGAAGAGCGTTCCAGACGGCCGCAGTAGCGCATCTGAAAGCGCTCGATGCGGTGACCGTCTTTGTTCAGCGACTAGACAAAAAGAAAAATAGGTGACACCTTAGGTTAATGGCAGAGGAAACAGGTGAGAGAGACTTGACTTTTAAACAACTTTTATTGCCGCCAGCAGCAACAGCACTGGAGGCGATTCCGATATGAAATACACAGTCGCCAGCAAATAAACGCTATAAATCCACGCGCTGTGGCGCTAAATGCAGCGTGCACAACACGAAAGAAAAGTCACGTGGTGGTGGTGATTGTCATCGCGCACGCCACGGTGACGAGCGTGAACACGCAGGTGAGAGAGAGGAGTGAATGAGATGGTTTAGACGGGAGGAGGAGAGCGAGAGGCCGGAAAGAAAATGTTAACTTTAAACATGTAAACTTTCTAAATGTAGACTCAGTGCTTCACGTGCACAATGATGCAGGGGATCTGAACAGCTCATTCTCACAAAGCGCGATGTATTTTGGGAGTATGTGTTTTAAATACATATATTTAAAGGGTTATTATCAGCCTTTTCGTCAGTCTCGGGGGTCGTCTGACTGCACTAAATCCACGTGTGGGTCGGTGAAGGGTGCCCCGAGGTCCAAATAAAATATCCCTAGCCAGTCATGTTACCCATTTCCAATTATCAAACTCACGTGGCCCGGTTTCCACCGCGTAACCGCTCCACCTCGACGAAGCATTTACACAACTACAGACTCGTACAAGTCCAGTCGTTGTCTTTACCAACAAAAAAAAACAACACAAGACAGTATGTAATGCACCTGACAGAGAAAACACCAGAGTCAAAAATCTGAATTTGGTTGTACAGCATCTCTGTAGACTTCTAATGGGATCCAGCGCACCAACTGCACGTGCGGCCCGTGCTCCGAATTGCCTGTCTGGCAGGCAGCGCGCGTGAGCGCATGCTAATGCTGTGCGACCCACGCAGCATTACACAATAGATGCATCGAATTGACTGCAAAAATTAGGCCACACTCATCCACTTTCAAAGATTGTACGAGGCAAAATAAACTAAATAGCACTTATCCTGAATGGGAATAAAAAATGTTTATTTATAATGGAGGAATCCGATGAGCTGTAAAGCTCTTTTTCATAGATGTTCAGAAGGGGCGGGTCAGAATGTTACAACAACAAACAGTACAAAAACACGATAGTAGTGTAGAGTATAGGAAAGGTAAACAAATCACTTAAAAATATACAAATACAACTAAATAATGTTTGATCTTACCAGGTAAACCCAACTGAGTTATTAGCTTATTTTCAGAAGCGACCTGCCCAGCAATGATAGCTCAACGAAGTGGCTTTTCGCGTGGAATTTTATAGCAGCAAATAATCTAAACGCGTGTTTCTAAATGTGGAGGGGAAAACCCGGTGGACCCAAAGAAAAAATCCACATGACCACGGGGAGAAAATGCAAGCTCTAAATATACAGGTGTCAGGGTTGGGATTGAACCCACAACCTCCTCTATTCCATGCGACATAAATAACATCTCGCCACCGTCACGCGGATTTTTTTCTCTGGGTCCACGGGTTTTCCCCTCCACATTTAGAAACATGCGTTTAGATTATTTGCTGCTGTAAACTTCCACACGATAAGCCACTTCGTTGAGCTATCATTTGTGGTCAGGTTGCTTCTGAATATAGCGTAGTGGGCCTTGCCTGTTAATATAAAAATAGTTTAATATCGATTTAAAGCTTTCGTGACTGCAGGGATTCATCTTCTTGGTTCTTTCGGTAAAGTCACGTAGAAGGGAAATAATAAAATAATAACAATAAAACATAATAAAATACAATTCTCACGACGTTTCGGCCTTCTACGTGACTTTACCGAAAGAAGCAAGAAGAATAGTTTAATAGTTTTTTAGTTTAGTGGTGAATGATATCTGAATTGATCTTGTGCTCTTCCCACCAGATTAACCAATTCCCAAATGGTGAAATATGCTCAATTACCATGACCAACGCGGTGTGGGGGAGGCCTTCATCCAGCAGTGGATATACAAAGGGCTGTTAATTGTTACTACTATTATTATCTTGTAGAGACACATCAAGATGTGTGTCGCAGGATGTCTGAAAAGAGGTTAAGTGTGGCAGTTGCATATTTTGTTTACGGCACGAGGCACTTTCAGGTGCTATGGATCACTGTTGATATCCAGGGAGTGACACTCACTTTATCGACCAGCATTCAAGCACATATCTTTTCCAATTGTAAGACAACAATGGTACTCTTAAGTAGTAAAACGTTTCTCTATGAACATCTGTATGCAATTATGTGGAGTGTAACGATTTCGAACTTCACGTGGCTTCAGCCAGACATCAAACTCAGGGCCTCCGGCTATCTGGAGCATTATACAAAGACATAATAATAATAATACCGGTGCACTTATTGACTTTGCCACAAAGGCAAATATCCTCCATGATAGCCTTCATGGACTGTTGGGGCAAGAGTGGTTAGGGAGCACCTATGAAGGCTGGCACGGCAAACGAGGAGGTAGGTGGGTAGCCAGCACCACGTCTGGCCGCCTTTGTCTCCGCAGTGGCGATGTTCACACACCTCACCGGGTACTCATTTGAGGCTGAGTCGACCAAGGGGAGGCCCAGGACCAGTTCACACAATCGTCACTGGTGTTAGCCGTGGGCATTGAATCGAACTCGGCACACTACCGATCCCCACTAGTCAACCTTAACCACACACAAACACACACGTGCAAAAAAAATTTGGAATGAAAATTAGAATTCATTCGTACGACCCCTTTGCCCGTTTTTAATCAGATCCAGTGCGTATTGTACACGCGCGCGCATCTACGGGCAAGTTGCACTGACCTGTCATGAGTGCATTGATGCATTGCAGGGTTATAATTTCCCATAATTGCTTAAATTTTTTCTAAATGATTGGGAGAATCGGAGGGGGCGGGGGGGTAGTGTATTTATTGTGTACGAAACACACGTTGTGCATGCTCGCAAATACCACTAGATGGTGATAGAGCCCCCCTCTCGCCTGTGGAAAGCCTCAAAGTAGCAAGCCCACCCGGTGTGAAGTATAAGGACAGCCTTCTTCTTTTTGTACGGCTGATGTAGATGCAGAGCAAGAACGACAATCTCACATTCAGGTGGTCAAGCCAGATAACCACATCAGGGGTATCGCTGTGATGTCTCCTTCATATTTGTGGATCGGGCATTGCGTCGTTATAAGTTGTGTAGTCTTGTTCTGGATGGCCACAGTCGCACACTGGAGAGTTTTCAATTTCCATTTGTGCTTCAGGTATCGTCCGCATCTGCCATAGTTTGTTTTTTGATTCCAAAGAACACAGGATGAGATGTTACTATCCTTTGTGCAAGCACTTCCAAGAGTTCATGAACAGTGAGCCTGGTGAAATTTGGGGAGCGCATCGTCAGTAGTGACCCTTTGGTTCCTAGGGTGTTTCGGCCTTTCATACTATACACCCTCCCCAAAGGCGGCCAGCGACAGGGTGATCAATCCTACGCTTGCGTCCCATTCCCAATTAGTCATAGGAGTTGCCTTGTTGTTGGTAGCCACAGTCGCACACTGGAGAGTTTTCAATTTCCATTTGTGCTTCAGGTATCGTCCGCATCTGCCATAGTTTGTGCAGTGAATGCGGTTCATGGTGTGCAGTAACGATGCATCAATCCCTCAATGCCAATTCCTAAGCTCATCCTGCATGCCTTGAATTGTTGCGCCGTATGTAAAGAGTTCACATCTTCCCCCTCTAGCCACTGGAGGTGACTGCATTCCCTACGGGAGAACAAAAAATAACCCATTTGTGCATCGAAGTGCGGCGGTGAATTGTGAGGATTCATGAAATTGTCAGAGGATGGGGTGGGGGGTTGATTGGTACGGCGCTGGGAATTGTGATTAGTCATACAAATAACAGGCAGAGTGTCTGTGCAATGACATACATTAAATATTGCATCAGTAATGCCCTTTATTTTAAAAAGCCTGAGTAGCAACACCATCCATGATGAGCGGTCTGCATTGCCATGTTTGGCCAGGTTCCATTAATGAGTGCCAAGCAACTCATTAATGGGAACGCCTAGAGAAAAGTCACGCATGTGAGAGGACTACACCCAAAGCTCCACACAGATGCATGCACGTACTGTGCTGTAATCTCCCGGCCACCACCCAGTCCATCGGGAGGAGTTTTTACAAATTTGCGTGATCCGCCAGCACTGGCCTCCTGAGCATTGGGTCGCAGCTGTGCGACACTGCCCGGCTAAAATGAAAATCAGTTGAACTAATGGTTCCCTTTCGAACTGATCAATGTATCCCAGCCGTGTTTGTTTCGCCAAAGTAATACTCCGGCTAGTTTCCATTTCACTGAGTCAGGGTGTGGCCCGTTTATGAAATAATCAAACGTAGCCAGCTAATATGATGTTATGGTTTTGAGCTACCCATGATAGTATTGAGGTCTTTACTTGAGTATAGCCTCCATTCCATTTTGCATCACTTCAGTGATTACTTTCGGTTCTTACGATTACGATACGTGCATAAAATCGTGCGTAAGTGTTGGTTCTTCATGATTTATTAATAGACTAATGATATTTTTAAAACATTATGTATGTACGTATGTTGAAAGTCTTTCCTACCGTATGTAGCCAAAGGCGTTAATCTGAGGTGTGGGCAAAGGACAACAAACTAAACACGAAAAGTAGTTCCAAAAGGGATGAGTTTTCAATTTAGATTTAAAAGTGCATAGCTCCAGTGGCTTCCTATTAACGGAAGGAAGAGAATTCCAGACGGCCGCATAAGCGCATCTGAAAGTGCGTTGCAGTGTTCGATGGTTAGCCAACAGCCGCAGCGAGGATGACCGGAATTCGCGTGATGGTTTATGCTCCTTGACGAGATCGGCAAGGTACTGTGTTCATTTGTGGCAAGCACTTTGTGTGTGATATCATTAGAATAATTAGCTTCTTTTCACACCATAAGCATCTGAGTTATATTTAGTGTCCCCATGTTTTATATCGAATTCGGTGCCCATTGATCTACTTGGGGGGTGGCGGGGGGGGGGCTAGGGGCTATACTTTGACTTCGTTCTCGAAACCTTTGCACCGCCACTTGCCCTGTGGTTTCTATTCGGCGCTTCCTGTTTTCTCCGCGGTCCATGTCGGCGCAAGGCGAGTGTTTCTCCGGCTGGCTGGAGGCCCTGCTGGCGCGTGTGGCCGAGGACCCGCGGCGCGTCGTCAGCCCCGAGATCGTCACCATCGACCTGGACTCGTTCGAGGTGTCGCGCCCGGCCCCGCGCGGCCACGAGCCCAGCCGCGGCAACTTCGACTGGACGCTCACGTTCGGCTGGGAGGCCCTCCCGGAGAGCGAGCGCCGGCGGCGGAAGGACGCCACGGAGCCCATCAAGTGAGGGCCTCGTGAACGCTGGCGGGGGGGTGGTGGTGGTGGGGGGGGGGGCGGCGTGGGCGTCACTCAGGAGTGTGTCGGGCTGTACCGTAGGGCTGTACCATAGGTCCCAGTCTTTTTAAACCGGGTTTGTCCAGATCGGTGAGCTGAAAAATATTTCCACAGACAGCACACCACAGTCTGTTCTCCTATAACGCGTGTTTTCATAACACTAATTGGAAATAATGCGGTGTTTTTTTATAATGCGGATGCGAATTGGATATAACGCGTTTGAGTGAACAGAACTACGTCGCGTGAGTAGGAGTAAGAGGCTGTACGGCTGCCTCGGCGTAACATCATGACACAAGGCGGGATGCTGCTGGATGTTCCGGGATGCTACCCGCGCACCTCAGTCTTTGTTCAGCCTGCGCATGCATCGCACGTGTTATCGCGGACTGTGCTTTACCCTATATTGTTTATTATAATGCAATATTCTTCAGGAACTACAACCGAGTTATAGGAGAAAAGACTGTACCTCTCCCTGTGGCTGCGGATGCTCGTGACACGCCACCTACTTTGGGTTAACCAACGACCTGGAAAAAATATTCAGTGAGAGAATTACATCCTCAGTGTCAGGGACCCTCCCACGACCTCCCACACCCAGTAGTTGTCTAAGCCCCCCCACCCCCCGCCGCGAGGCTTCAGCAGGGACTTGGTACAAGGGAGACGTTTTCGGGCTGTCAGAACAAAATGAAACGAACAGTTCAAAGGTTATGGGAACGGAATGGCATAGCATATGCAAGCCCGCACAGTGGGTTTTTGTTTCTCCATAGTGCCAACCGAATGATCACTGACATGGTGTGCTTGTAATAAATAACGATCATGTAAGGAGGCACTTCGATTCGAATAATAGCCCTTGCGTTTTGGTGAACAGTGGCAACAGGACCCGCTCAGCTGTTCGAGCGATCACGTGCCTTTTTGTTGTTTTGTGCGGGTTAGCACTCTGGGTAATTAAGATTTACGAACTCGGCAGTGGAAATTGTCAGATTGCCTCCAGTCGCCGCTTGTAGGTGCAAGGTGGAGAGAGCTGGGAGGCCATGGTTATTGACATTTTCATGGATTTTGTGCAGCCGTGGGTGGAGGTCGTGAGTCATCTTGAAATTGGTCAATTGTAGTTGGCACTACACACATTTAATCAAAACATGTCAGGCAGGTCACTCACCCCCCGTGCCAAGATAATAAATGTAGTACTTTAAGACGTATTTACTTCATTGACCTCCTAGCCTGTAAACAGCGTGGGGCAGTGGCTCGATAATTCTCACGTTAATGCTACATTCTGCATTTTTTTTAAATAACGACGAGTGTGCACTTTTAATTGTGAACAAGTTCGACAAATCCTGCATACGCATGGATTTTGTAGAATGCATGGATGATGCTTTCAAATGTGTGTTTCGCCTCGCAAGTATTTAATCAGTAGTATGGCAGCCGCTGTCATTGTGAAATGCGTCTTCATATTTGCAAATCGACATTTTGACTGTGGGTTGTCTCTCCGGATTTTTATGCCGATTTGCAATTGGGTTTATAATTATTATTATCATAAAAAAAAATCCCCCAGAATCCCCGAGTCTCATAACTCTTTCTATGGAGGATCCTGCAAAGTCTTTTTTGCGGTAGTTGGCGGTGCAATGCCGATTCGAGAAATGTGTTCGCGACACAATTGTACTGTAAAGTTTACGGATGGACAGACAGACAGACCAGTGCATAGGTGCCTTCACCGTGACTTTGGGAAACGTTAAAGAGCATGGCAAGGGCAGCTGAAAGTGATTGTTGCTCACCCGAATTGTGCCTGTGTCGCCAGGACTCCGACCTTCGCGGGGGGTCTCTTTTCAATCTCCAAAGAGTATTTTGAGTACCTGGGCACCTATGACAATCAGATGGAAATCTGGGGAGGCGAGAACATTGAAATGTCATTCCGGGTGAGTCCACTGTGTCTCTTTCATCTTTATTCTTTCCTCCTTCTTCTTATTTTCCATCTCCAAAGTTGCTTGAACAATGAGAGACATTACTGGCACCGCACGTGTACTTTTGCTGAATTACTCCTGAACGCACTGACATTTCCTTCGTGAAAATTATACCCATTGGCACGGCCACTCGCTGTACTCACTCCATGATTGTCATCATTACTGTGAATCAGCCGTGCTGTGATACTGCTGGGGGACGGCTTCAACGTGTTTCAAACCTGTCTTTACTGCATTGATGAGGAGCAACCAACAAACAGACACCAGTGCACAAGACGTGGACACAAATGAGGCTCCAGTTCACGCGCACTGCGTGCCAATGTTGACAAATGCGGCATCGAACATTGATGGTTCATGACTCGACTTAGGGGAGTACAATTTCTGCCTTGGACATTCCAGTTTCAGGTGACACATCCCAGGTGTTTTTTAAAAATGATAAACCATGAGGCAACAGTAAAAACGCACCAGTGCTGGGCAGTCACCAGACGGCTTCTGTTGGGCAGCCGCTCGTATACCACAAGCTAGAATAGTTTAAACTACCGTCGGGATGATTGTTTTCTACTAAATTGCATTGGTAAATAAAACTGCGTCTGAAGCCGGTTTGAGCAAAACTACGACCCAGGCACTTTTGTACACTTTGTCAACGAAAGAACGCATTGGTAATATACACTTGCATGGTTAAAAGTTTGCGTCAAGGATTTGGCTTTGTCGTAGATCGTGATGAACACCTGATTAATATTATTGTATATTTGTATTAGTATTACTATCACTACAATTTCGCTTATTTCCCCAAGAAAGACTGAGTTGCAGGACTCTCTTTTAAGGAAGGCCCCGCCAAATAATTTCTTCAGGAGGGGTCAATATTACTGTTTGTAATCTCAACTGAGTAATTTTGCTGGTAAATTGCTAGTATTGTTTTGGTCAATACCAGTTACATAGCACTGTTCTTTTCTCTATGGGAGGAAGTCGGATAACGCGGAGGGACCCCATGCAGAACACGGGGAGGACATACACACTCTGCACAGAGTTGGGAATTGAACCCAGCTCCTACTTTGGGGCACGAGTATTATTACTGTGCCAGTCTTCTGGTCCACATATATCTCGAGTCCCTCATTATAACCTGCAGTGAGGAAAATGCATCATATAACTGCTGTGACTGACTGACTGATAGGCAAATTCAGTTTTATTATATAATAATGATAGAAACCCAAGGCAGAGTTTTTAGTGACGCACACCAGCTGAGACATTAATCACGACAGTGTGATAGCAAAGTGGGAAGGATTGTTATTTCTTGTGGCACTGTGTCTGGCGTTGTGCAACCTCCGAGGTACAAACAAAACCATGACAAATCATGGGAATGAGAATATTTCACAATACCAGAAGAGGGAATAACGTCACGTGAATCCATTGTCTTGAGAGCTGTCTTATTATTATTACTACTACAACACATCTGACAAAAACCGGGACAGCAGCTATATCCATCCAGGGAAAAACACCAGGACGGGTGGCAACCCTCGCCATTCTAGATTTGAAGCTTTCGTGACTGCAAAAACCTAAGAATATGAACCCTCGCCATGCCGGCCACCTCGCACTGAGCGTGTGTGTGTGTGCGTGCGGGCCTGCCCCAAGGTGTGGCAGTGCGGCGGGCAGCTGGAGATCGTGCCGTGCTCCGTGGTGGGCCACGTGTTCCGCACCAAGAGCCCACACTCATTCCCGGCCGGCGCCTCCATCATCACGCGCAACCTGGTGCGCGCCGCCGAGGTGTGGATGGACGAGTACCGGCACATCTTCTACCGGCGCAACCGCGAGGCGGCGCGCATAGCCAGCCAGGTACACTGCGCGAGCGCCCTCCGTCATGATGTTTGGTAGTAATCATAACGATGAACTCGGTTTGCTGTGGCGCAATTCGCACAAGGTCCAATGTGTTCTCATTGTCTGCATCGTCGTCATCATTATGTGCTAACCATCTGTAATGAATGGCTCCGACACGGTGTGTAAACTTTAAGTTGTTTATTAATAAATCATCGGTACAGCTTCGATTCTCTCTCCGCGGATGTCCACCCGCTCGGGTGGCTGCGCTGCCCCGCGCTACGTGGCGCTCACCCCGCTCGCCAACACGCCGCTGGCTGGCGGCGCGCTAGGGAGCGGCTGAGCCGCCACGTGGCAAATGGAGGTGGCGAGGCAGCAGCGACGGGGAGCTCCTCTTGATCTTCAAACGCCCCGACCCCTCACGTTGCTGTGCCCCCGGGTTATATTCGCTCCCCGGCGGTTAAGCGCCACCTCTGGCCACGCCCCTCCTGGAACCGTCGGGAACGTTCCAGAGGCTTCCCTGGTGGATCCGCCCCATCACCTTTACCCCAGATGTAATGTCTACTATAGATAAACCATAGACTGTACAAGGTAATGTGTTCGTTTTGTTAGATGAAACATTTTCTCCCTTCCTTTATTTTCATTCGGAAAAGAATGTGGTCAAGCGTGCACCGATTCTCGCTGTTTGCATCGCGACCTATGTAACTGGAACTAAGATCTGTCCTTTGTAATAACATCTGCACTGTCGCAGGACGACACATAAAATCGAACCAAGCAGCTCATTGGGCCCTTCTTGCTGAAATAAACCAAATCTAAATCTGCACTGCTGTCTCAAATAACATCGCAGTCAATAACACTTTCATTTTGTCTTCGGTGGATAGTTGTAGCCGTCATCTCGCATGACGATGTTTGTCCACTCATGATCATCGGTGACTAAAAAATGTCATCAACTTTTTTGGTGAATATTTTCATGACATTTCGTTTGCGAAGGTAACACCAGCTGGACGGCACTGGCCCCCATCTCCCTCCCTCCTTCCCAGGGGGAGTTTGGAGACATCTCGGAGCGACTGCGCCTGCGAGAGCGTCTGCAGTGCAGGAACTTCACGTGGTACCTGAACTCCGTCTACCCCGAAGCCTTCATCCCCGATCTCAACCCGGAGGCGTTTGGAGCGGTGCGTAGACAGGTCGCTAGCAAAACGTAACGTAGTAACGAGTTACTAAAATCCGTCATTGTACACAAACTCATTCTGCATTGCTGTGGGGCGTCGTGAGTTAATGAAAAGCATAAATAACCCTCCATTGTATGTATGTTGAACTTCTTTCGCACCGTACGTGGCCAACAGTGCTAATCGGAGGTGTGCGGGAAGAACAACAAACTAAACACAAAAAGCAGCTCTAAGGAAATTAAGTTTACATTTATAAAACAAGTTTTCAGCACGTGCAGAGAACACGATTTAGCCGTCGGCCTATTGACTTCCCAGACCAATATAATCCAAGCAGCATTTGTGTTCACAAACAAGCAACCAGCAGACATGCGGATGCAAATGCTTCTTTGTAAAATGTGTGTGGTGCAGGCGTAACGTGCGCGCGATTTAAAGAAATTGCCTGCCAGATTACTCAACTCATCGTGAACTTTGTGCCGCGCGGCTCTGCTCGAGTGCAGCTGCTGAACCGAGGGAGAGGCCAGTGCTTGGACACTGGCGGTGAGAGCTCCCAGGGCAAGCCACTCATCCTCTACACCTGCCACGGGATGGGCGGAAACCAGGTGAGATCCCTCGCCCGCCCACCTGCCTGCCTGCCTGCCCGCCCACCCGCCCCTGCTCACACATCCCAGGTGTGAATTTTGCGCAGCACAATACGAAAAGCCATCGCGGTGTTCGTGGAAATCTTCGGAAATTGAATTCGCAAAGGCTCACGAGGTCAAGTGAATGTGTGTATCGGTTGTCAGCCCAAATACGTAGACTTGCTGTGTAGACAGTTAGCGCCAGTTTCTTTCCTATTATTGGGCATATAAATATTATACAGCAGGTTGGTTCACATAGCATCATCTTTATGATGGTTATAGTGCCGCTCCTATTGTGGATGGATGGACAGAGTTCATTCATAAATGCTCGCAACCTTATTTAGAAAGTGCTACAACAAAAACCTATTACTATAAAACACGTATTATTTTTCGATTTAAAGCTTTCGTGACTAATGAAACAGCACACGAGCTTGGAGCATATATATAAGCTGGGCGCATTGACAAAGGAATTTGCATATCAAAAGGAATTTTCCCATAAATATGCTAAATTCCTCTTGATATGCAAATTCCTTTGTCAATGCGCCCAGCTTATATATGTAGTGGTGGTATTGACGTGCGCCGGCAGTGATGGATCACGGGGCGCGGGGTTGGGCACGCGATGTGGGCGTGGCATGGACGCGCGCGCCGGTGGTGAGGCGCGCTCACACAAGCTGGGAAAAGAGGATCGTAGCGAGTGTGCAGTGATTGGTCAGATAAGTGGGTACTCTCAGCGACGTCCGCAGGAGGGGTATAAAGGGGGACGCGCGAGAGCACTCGTGGTCAGTGTTAACCAGTTGAAGACCGAAGACGGGGTGGAGGAGGTAGGGGCCCTGTGTGGCTCGGAGCCGAGACTGGGGGGACCGTAGTCCGACGCCCGTGTGGGTCGGGACGGTGGTACCCAGAGCCGAGACGGGCACCCCGGCTGGGTGTGTCCCGGAAGGCTACAGGGCGTAAGAGCCCGTGTCAGTACAGCTGAGTGGGTGTTAGTCACCCGTGTAGCTGAGTGGGTGTTGGTCACCCGTGTAGCTGAGTGGGTGTTAGTCACCCGTGTAGCTGAGTGGGTGTTGGTCACCCGTGTAGCTGAGTGGGTGTTGGTCACCCGTGTAGCTGAGTGGGTGTTGGTCACCCGTGTAGCTAAGTGGGTGTTGGTCACCCGTGTAACGAAGTTGTAGCTGAGTGGGTGTCCGTCACCCGTGTAGCTAAGTGGGTGTTGGTCACCCGTGTAACGAAGTAGGGTGTTAGTCATCCGTGTAACTACAAGTTGGTGAAAATAAAGAGTGTGCTACCCGTGAAGTCGTCTCCTGCCGAGTTACTACTTTACAACTGGCGTCAGAAGTAAACCTGTCTTCAAGGAGAATGGACACAAGGAAGACTTCTCGTTCCCACGTGCAAGACCGGGGAGACGACGACGTACCGGTGACACCACCCTCGGGAGGAGAGGACGAGGAGTTGCCACCGATGCAGCACTTCGCGGAAATGGCCGATGCTCCGCCCGCCTCCGACACCAGCCTGCAGGACGCACACTCCCGCCTGGCGGAGTTGCTGCTCGCCGCCGCTGCGATCTTGGCGGAGATCTCCGTTCCAGTGGCCGGTGGAACGCCTGCGGGGTTGGAAGAGGCGGCGCGACTGGAGGGTTCCCGCCATAAGGCGTTTCGCGCCAAAAGTTTGGGAGTTGGCGCCATTTTTGAGGGTCCGCCTCCGGTTGGCGGGAAACGCGGACACCACGTGGCCAGAGGTCTCCACACAGCGCAGCCCGCGTCATCGGCGAGCGCCGGAGCTCTCCATTTTGCGCCTGCAGAGGGAGCCGACATTTTCTACAACCACAGCGGCGCGCGGGAAAATCGTTCCAACGACGACGACGACGATCGAGTTCTCCAGCAACGATTGCCCGCGCTGTCGGTGTTCAAGGCGGACGGGGGCGACTGGGGAGCCTTCCAGCGACGGTTCATCGCGCATCAAGAAATGTCGGGGTGGTCCGACACCACTGCCCTGCGCGCGCTGCCAGCGATGCTCGACGACGACGCGCTTGCGGCCTTCACGTCTGCCCCGAGGTCGTCCCGCTCAACGCTCCAGGCCGCGCTGCACCTGTTGGCCAAGGTGTTCGGGCCGCCCTCGACCTGTCGCCACCAGTTCTACGATCGGCGGAAGGTGGTTGGAGAAACAACGCTCGCCTATCGCACGGCGCTGCTCGCCCTGGCGGATTCAGCTTTTCCCCGCATGGACAAGGAGGGGAAGGACGCCATGGTGACGGAGCAGCTGCTGGCGCTGGCTCACGGATTGGGAGTTCCCATTAATACGGCGGACGAGATGGACATCTGCTCCCTGGGGATTGCCACGAGTATCCACGCTTACGAGGTCCTACAGCGGAAGCCGACGGTCGTCTGCGCATCGGTGGAGAACGGGGCACCGGCCGCCACGATCATCGGACCTCAGCCTGCTGTGCCTCGGGAGGAGGCCTTCGCTGGTTCGAGGCCGGGGGAGTGGAGACCGGGAGGTCGTTCGCCCACACGCTCCTCCCGCAAGCTGGAGCAACCGAAACCTACGACGTCCCTCGTCGTCTGCTACAACTGCGGCCTTCGGGGCCACGTCGCGGCCGGGTGCCGGGCCCCGCGTCAACGCACCGCGGGACCACGTCCGGACGACGACCAGGGACTCAAGACATCCCAACTGAACCCGGCAAGTCGCGGCACCTCACACGTTCGGTCCACACGCACGGCACGTTCGGGTCGCCGCTTAGCGGTGGGGGGACCGTGTATGGGCGCCGGGGGTTCGGTTCGGCGAGAGGGGTCCGCGTACGGCCCGAAGGCAGTCGAGTGGTCCGAATTGGCCCACAGGATTGTGGCTGCGTCGGCCGGGTCGTCCGTGGTAACGGGGTACATTGACGGGGTTGAGGTCCGGGTGCTCGTGGACACGGGTGCGTCGGCCACTATTATTTCGGACCTTATTTATAATATTCTTCCCGTACAATGTCGACCACTTCTGCCGGTGGACGTACCATTTTACGCGGCAAACGGGGGATCTTTGGGAATCATCGGCCAGATTCGGGCGAATATTTGTATTGGCGACATTAAATTGGCGGGTCCTATTTTTGTATCATCATCGTTGGCCGTTCCTTGTTTACTAGGCACGGACTTTCTGTCTAAAATGCCCATAAAAATTCTCATAGACCAGGCCTGCATTGAGCTTCCGTCGGGTCGGCGGGTTGAGTTTTTGAAGAGTCCAAATAAGATACGCACGGCTTGTGCGACGGTGCAGGCGCTGGCAACCCGGACTGTACGGGTGCCCCCGGGATCGCAAATGTTGGTACCCCTTCGGTTGAGAAAACCCCTTGGGGCGGATGCGGGGGCGCAGGGAGTTCTATTGGGGCCGTCTAACAGGGCTAAAGGGGACCTCGGCTTAGCGGTGGCCCAGACCATGGTGAGGGGGGACAGTGAGCCGTTCGTTGTGGTCCTGAATACGGGGTCGCGGCCGGCCGTGATTACGCAGGGAACGGTGCTCGCTCACGCCGCGCAGCTACCCGTCGAGGAACAGCTCGTTGCTCACGCCGATTCACATGTCGATACGCATCCCCAAAGTGAGGAGGGGACGGAGTGGTTGGACGCGTTGTGTGCCGGGTCCAGTACCTTGTCCAGTGTGCAGTTGGGTGCATTGAGGGGCTTGCTGCTCGAGTTCGCTGACGTGTTTAGCAGGCACAAGTACGACATTGGCTGCACAGACCTGTTGCGCCACCACATAGAGACTGGGGACACGGCCCCTATTCGACAGAATCCCTTCCGGCTCAGTCCAGCCGAGAAGGAGCATGTGCAGTCGGCAGTAAATGACATGTTGGCGGCCGACATCATTGCGCCCTCTTCCAGTCCGTGGGGTGCTCCTATCGTCTTGGTTAAAAAACAGGATGGATCCCTGCGGTTCTGTGTTGATTTCCGCCGCCTAAACAAAATATCAATGGCCGATGCGTATCCGCTCCCCAGGATGGATGAGTCGCTGGATGCCTTGGCAGGAGCACAGTTTTTTTCGACGCTCGATTTGCTTTCGGGATTTTGGCAATTGCCCCTCGATGACGAATCAAAACCTAAAACCGCTTTCCGGACACCGGGAGGCCTATTTGAGTTCAACCGATTGCCCATGGGTTTACATTCCGCTCCTGCCACGTTCCAGAGGCTCATGGAATTGGTTTTGTCAGGCCTTCAATGGGACACCTGTTTGATTTACCTCGATGATATCATCGTTTTCAGCCGAACTTTTGAGGAGCACCTCCAGCGACTGAGGGCAGTGTTTCTCAGGATGCGTTCCGCGAAGCTTAAATTTAAACCGGCTAAATGTTTTCTGCTTCGGGAATCGGTCAGGTATTTGGGCCATATCGTTAGCCATTCGGGGATCTCGACGGACCCTGCTAAGACGCAATGCGTCTGCTCATGGCCAACACCGACCTCTGTTACTGAAGTCCGCAGCTTCATAGGATTTGCCTCCTATTACCGTCGTTTTGTCAAACAGTTTGCCACCATAGCCAGGCCCCTGCACGCCTTGACGGCTAAAGGGGTGCGGTTTCACTGGGGGCCGGAGGAGGAGGCCGCGTTCTGCTCCCTTCGTGACGCCTTGGTGCAGGCTCCCCCCTTGTGTTACCCCGATTTCACGCAACCGTTTGTGCTCGACACGGATGCCAGTAACACGGGTATCGGGGGAGTGCTCTCACAGGTGGTCGGGGGGGTCGAACGGGTGGTCGCCTACGGTAGCAGGGTTCTGTCCCCCGCGGAACAACGCTACTGCGTGACACGGCGTGAATTGCTGGCGATTGTGTTTTTTATACAGCAATTCAGGCCGTATCTGTATGGCCGTCACTTTACGGTTCGCACGGACCATGCGGCTCTCCAATACGCTATGCGGGTGGCGCAGCCATCCGGCCAATTGTCCCGATGGTTGGAGGTCCTTCAGGACTACCAATTCACGACAATTTACCGCAAGGGGTTGCGCCACTCGAATGC